AGGGCAAGCATAAAAGAAAGACACAAAAAGTCAGCATAAAATGCACACACTGTTCACATGAATAGCAAGGGAATAGTAAGAGATCTGACAGGTGACAGTTTAAGCCCCTCTCACCTAACTCTAAAAAACTTAAACATGTTAGTAAGCATTTGGAGAGCTCACATGTAGCTGGACTACATGTACACAAACATCCTGATGAGAGCAGACACCCGTGTTGGGACTGAGACAGGTACAGACTACTTAGACTTGATCAGTGAATTATGGCCATACAAGAGAGTGCCCTCTCTGATAAAATATGAGATAGCTACATTTACTAATATCTGCTAATTAGATATGCAACCTGTGACTATTTTACTGAAGGAAAATTGGGGGGGGGGTCTGTGTGTTTAACTGGAGGACCCAAAAGAGCCACGATACCCTGAAGCCACCATCATACAAAGGGCAAGTATGGATTATACATAAAGACCCCAATCCATTTCCTCTAAAATCTCTTACCTGCAGTGAGCTACTGAAATGCTCAAGCAAAAAAAAAAAAAAAAACAAACACAGGATACCATATTTTAGGAGTGCTCAGTCCAGCCTGTGACACACTTAGTCTGCCCTTGCATTCAGAGGTAGTATCAGTGCTAGAGATCATCACCAGCTCACACTCCTGGGTTGCTCTCAGCCTCCTGCAGCAGCACACCATGTTTGAAGCTAGGCCAGTCCTACTCCTAGCACGGCACCTCCGCAAAATGAACAGAGAAACACATCCAAATGAACTGTGCAGCGAGTCTCAGCTTAGTACAGCTTTGGTACAGCCAAAGATGTACCTGCATCTTTGCTGGCCAACACCGACGGCCAGCACACCACAGGGCTGGAGGGAGCTGTGGGGCACAGGAACAACTGAACCTGTGCTGCCATAGGATACTGTGCCACACTAAGCCACAGGGCCTGCTCACACCAGCTACAAACAAAGCAGAACCTATGATCCTACAGAAGGGGTCGCCTCTATGTACTGGCAGATGTCACACAGTTCACCGTGGATGAGAAATCTAAATTCAGAAAGCAGCATTTGACTTTCCAGTAGGGAATTCGGCATGAAAGGACTCATCTAGAAGAAAAACAGATTCTGTATTTGTAAGCATGGAAGGGAATACTTATAAACTACAGTTATGGACACATGTATCAGAAAGTGTCACACACAGGTTCAGAGCTGAAAGACAAATGCAATTTCAGCAACAAAATAACCTATATGCTAGAGACAAATTCAAGTCTGAAGACAGCAGGAGAGGCTGGGACTTCTATATTTTATATCTATTTTATGTTATTACTCAATAGACCCTAGAGGTTCTTTTACACCAGCTTTGTTGGCTAGCAAATCTTACTTTCTAGCAAAAGCAAGCGGTAAGCCCAACTTCAGTTGGCACAACAGAGAAAGAAAACAATAAAAAATAAAACCATAATACTGCAACAAACATGGAACATGAAGCAGTGGTTACAGACAAATTGTAAAGAACACCAAAGTTAAAGCAAGTCCCCATTTGCTTTAAGTCATCTACCCTGGCATCTTTCCCCTGACATTTTACAATGCCTGTGCCAGATCCTGGGAAACAGCAGGCTGCTGTCAAAGTAAATATTCAAATACTTGCTTCAGAACCAAGAACTAAACAGCAGATACGCCTCAAAAGTAGCTTCCTGTCCTAACTTTCCTTTGTCCTTTGGAAACTGCTGTGGTCACCGCCTGCAATTATGTTACAATATCAGCAGCACAGACAGTTCTTTTAGCGTTCACACCATACTGAGTGCCTGCATTTCACTCACAACTCTGACCATAAAGAAGCCGTAGGTAAAGGTTGATGGCCAAATAGGACTTGACACTTAGTACTGTTTTAAATGCAACTTACTGCCTAAGAAATTGCCAGGTTCTGTTTAAGCTCATGTGCCAAAAGTGTTTAAGCATTCAAATGACAAATTAAAGCAATGGTGAAGACCAGTTTCCTGTTGTTTTACACCACTAAGTTTCTGTAAGTAGCTTCTAAGTAGTTTGAAGTAGCTAATCTTAAAGAATCAAATTTTTCTTCCATGCAGATCACCAAGGTTTCAACAAAAAACTACTTAAATACCAGACAACTCCAAGAAGAAACTACAGAAAGTAACCCCAATAATGAAAAGGAGCTCTGAATAGAGCTTTGCAGTATTTAACCTAAATAACACCAACTACCCGTACAAAATTAATGAAATATTTAACTGCATTAGGATGGACAAGTTCACATTTTAGTCTTTTGAGACTAGCTTTTGGTGGCTCTTCTGCTTGAGGAAATAATTTCTCTGATCACAAGCACAAGAAGATCCAAATTTCTGCTATTATCTAAGTAATTTGCACACACCAAACACAGCACCCATTCTAAAACAGACTGGCGAGTGGTGTGCCAGGATACCTACCCGAAAATTCAACGAAACTGAAAACTGCCCAGGCATTCAATTCCTGTACTCTAGCAAAGTCTATGTGCACAGTGCGATCAGCCTCCTGACACGAGTGTTTAAAGCAAACATGTTTTCCTGCATTTCACAGTCTTCTGAACAACCCAAAGCAACACAGGCAAACTTGCACCTTTGGCATACTATTTATACGTTGTCAGTTAAAAAAAAAAAAAAAAAAAAAAAAAAAAAAAAAAAAAAAAAAAAAAGAAAATGCAACCCAGCATTCCCAAGAGGTCCTTGGTAGATTATAAACTCCTCTGAGTTCTGATACGCGGTGAAAGCACTTAAAACCACAAAGCAAGCGAAGAAGAGGCCACACAACACACCAGTTCTTCCGCGGCTTCCGTGTCCTGAAGCGGGACAATTACACCAAGCACGGCTCACACAGCCGGGCCTCAGGAAGCACCCCCGTGGCAGCGGCAGGCGCCGGGCGCACCCGGGACCCCCGGAGGGAACCGGCCCTTCCCAGGGGCCGGAACGCTCCGTCCCGGCCGCCGCCCGCCCGCCCCCACCAGGGCGCGGCCTGCCCAGGAGGAACCCTCCCTGTCCAAGAAGGGGAGAGGGGGAAAGGGGAGCGGGAGGCCCGCCGCGAAGCCCGTCCGGGCCCCGCAGCGCCGGAGTCCGCCCCGCACGGCCCGGCGCGGCCGCCGCCCGCTCTCACCCTCCGCGATGACCCGCTTGATGCGCAGCTTCATCTCGCCCATCTCCACCGTCTGCCCCACGAAATCGTTCTGGTCGCGGCTGGCGGCCCCCAGGGAGCCAGGGCCCGCCAGGAAGTCCAGGGCGGACTGGAGGAGCGACATGGCCCCCGGCAGGCACTGCCCGGCGGCGGCCGGGCGCGCAGGAGCGGGATGGCACGGAAGGGTGGGGGCGGCGGTGGCTGACGGAGCGGCTCCGCCGAGCTACGGGCAGCGGCGGCGGGACCCCTGCGCCTGCCGGGCCGTCTGCGCGGCCGCCCTTCGCTCCGCTCCCGGCCGCTTCCGGGGCCGCTGCGTCATTTACGCGCTCCGGGCGCCGCCCGCCCAGCGCCGGCCCCGCCCCGCGGCGGGAACGCGCCCGAGCGCGCGCCTGAGCCTGAGCCCGAGCGCGCGCCTGAGCCCGAGCCCGAGCGCGCGCCTGAGCCCGAGCCCGAGCGCGCGCCTGAGCCCGAGCCCGAGCGCGCGCCCGAGCCCGAGCCCGAGAGCGCTCCCGCCCCCGTTCCCACTCCCGTTCCCACTCCCGCTCCCGGTGGCCGCGGGAAGAGCAGCTCGCCCTCTCTCCCTGCTGCCCGCGGCGTTTCGCCCTAGGAATCACAGAATATGCCGACTTGGAAGGGACCCATAAAGACCATCGAGGCCTGCACAGCACCCTGCTCAGGAGTCACACCCATGAGCATTGTCCAAGCGCTTCTCGGGAGAGGCCTATGGATTTTTATTTTTTTTTTTTTTTCATTTTTTTAAAGTTGTTAAAGGCGGAAAGGTTTTATATGCCGGCATACTTCCTGTTGAAAAGCAGAGGAAAACAAGGTTGTGCCTAGTTTGCGTTCCTGTTCCACTGTTACTAGTTTGCATTCCAGTTCTGACCACCGCACCGGACTGCAGCACGAGGTGGAGCTGTGCTCCAGCCTTCCCGTTTTAACTCTCGTCTAGTGCTCTTCCTTCTACAGCTTCACTCAGAACGAACCACAAGTCGTTCTGGCCAAAAAGGAAGGTGGTAAAGAAAGAATTTCCTTTTGTGTCACAAGGTCAAGACAGGGCAGAGCCATAAACTGGGGTGCCATAAATGAAAAGTTCCTTCCGTCTATTGGTACACAGTAAAGATATGCCCTTTAATTTCCATTCCAGTAATTGCTTTCAGCTTCTTAGGGATTAAATTAATTAAATAGCACTGAATTAGCATTCTATTTTGCATTTATCCAAAATATAACTAGAAAAATGGCACATATAATAATATCTCCATAGCTCCAGATAGGGTTCATTAGGTTCAGCACAGATGAAAATCTATTTTAGAAGTACATCTCAGAGAGAAAATTAAATACTTCTTCAGTGTTTGTATTTTTTAGTGCAACTGCTCTTGTGAGGTACTCTGAAAGCATGAGTCATAAAACTAATCCTCATACAAAGCAAACAGAAGTTTGACCTTTCTTAATTTAATATCTTCATTTTGCATGCAGAGACCCTCTGAGGTCAGAAATACACAAAAGGCACTTTTACAGCCGAGCTGGCACTTCTGTCCATTCATTTTCTTTCCTAATTGCCTGTTCTAGGTTTGAGTGAAACCATGCCTCTTTGAAAGATTTAGGCTTAATTCTGCCTCACACAATCCAGCAAGAATAACCATCTTTGGGAAGTGCCTACGCAAACTCGCTGTTTGAAAAAGCTCTTTTTCAGAGCGGCCACTAATACCTCCACATGTTACACCCAAATAATTCTGTGCACTACAAATTTTTCGTTCATGCAGCTCTTTGTGTTAGCTGAATACCTGTACAGCCTGCTACTGCGGATGAAGTTGCAAAACACAATGCATAAACTGTTGTGTTCTTCTTCTGATGTGCTCTTACAATTTTTTTTCTTATGCAGATTATGACCTGCTATATACTGGGAGATTTTTATAATACATTGTAACCACATATTTCAAATAAGACCCTATGCATTTGATATTAAAACAGCAAGTTCAATAAATAAATAAATAAAGATATTTCAGTTGATCCCTGGATGGAGGCTACATTTGAATTTAGCGAATTTTTCAGCAATCTGCCGTGTTAAAGTTTATATCTGATTTGGGGAACCCTTTTTTACAGTTTAGGTTCTAGTTTAAGTCATTCTTTTCCAGAATGGTAATGAGAGAACGCGCCAATCATTCAAAAAAAGATTATTTCGCTAGTTTTGTGGAGCAATAGTTTTGTGTCTGGCTTTGGACTAGACAATACAAACTTAGCAGAGGTATCTTTTCTCTATTTGCTGGTTTCAAACAGGGCATATGTCTTTTTTCTGTTTTTTAAGAGTTTTTTTACATAGGGCAAATTAGCTACCCTCCATAAATAAAATTAATTCACTAGTCATTAGAAAACTCACTGAAATTTTTAGACAGGATCTCTAGAGCCTTAATGTACACTGTACCTGTTCCAATCCATATTTAGGGATTTCTTCAGCAGGTGGTACTCCTGGCTACTTTGGAACACCAATCAATGACAAGGGGAAGGAAAGCTTAGTAATCTATCCAATTTCTTGAAGAAAATGTCTTCAACTCTGAAGTCAGAAAGCAAGGTGAAAGAAGTCTTGCAGGAATGTGTTCTTACTGTCGGAAGTACACCGTGGGGGTTTTGTGGGGGCTTGTTTGTTTGTGTTTTGTTTGTTTGACAGTGAGCAGCGATTAACAGACACCTCCACTGAACAAATAATTTCCTCATTCAATTTAACAAAAGACATTTCATCAAAATGCTCTTCTTGCATGAGAAACAAAGCATGACAGCTTCTTAACAAAGCTCTATTTAACTTTGGAAGGGTGAAGTCTTATGACAGTGAAATTGAGACTTGTTAAAATGACACCATATGCCCATTTACTGAAATTGCTAGTGTATAGTGATCTCTGCAATCCCTTGCCATTTTAATTTCGTGCCACTATTTATTAAAACATTTTTTAATACTTTATTATTTTGACATTTCAGAATTAGCAAGGCGCACTACTATTTTCTAGAAAATACCAATTTGAGCAAATTCTAATGAAGTTTAATGCTATGCTTTATGCCTACAAGACCATATGCATACTAAATGTGATTAGTTTCAGGCAAAGATAAGGTCCAGGGTCCTGTGATAAAAAGGAAAATTGTCATTAAATAAAAAAAAATTTAAAAAATGCAAAAAATGCCCACAAAAGAATTGCATTTGGTTTTCTAATGGAAAAAAATAAGTGCCTCATCTGTAGGTCACAAGGACTGCAGCAGTTACTGTGCTAGATTGGGTTAACTGCACCAGGCCAGGTGAGACACAGGTACAGTTGTACAGTGACCTCACTTCAGCTCCGGTCTATCCAAGGAGCAATGGATTGATCAGTCTTTGCAGGAAAGGAAGCAGCTTTTTAAAACCTGCTTGAGGCTAATGTTATATTCAACTGCTTGCATTTGATTAGACTTATCACTGAAGCCTTTATTTTTCCATTAACAGGGGTGAGGGAACCTTATTGCTTAATTGTTTATCAAAACTCCCTGGTATTAAGAGTAGCTACATCACTCCAACATTCTGTCTTAGTTACCAATTTAATGATGAATTTGCTTGTCAGAATTGCTAATTTCCATTTGCAAGTCTTTTCATTCTCTGTAGTCCTTGAAGAAAAGCTAAATGATTTTGCATTCTCTCTCTCTCCATTTATGTTTTCATCCAGAGAATTAAAAGGAAAGTCATGCCCTCTAAGTGCTTTTTACAACATTTTTTTTTTACATTTCAGAAGTTGCTAAATTAAACTTAATTGAAAATTTATACAGCCAATCCCAATTCATGCAGACATGGAAAACTCAAGTTTGAGAAGGAGTAACTATAAATGAACAAAAGAATTACAACATAGGAGTTCATCAGTTTTCACAGATATGTAATGTTAAAAGCAAACAAATAACACTGCCTCATAGCTAGGTATTTTTAAGGTTACAGTGACTAATGATAAGAAATGGGTATTTTTACTAATTTGCTTAAAATTCACTAAAGTACTTAAACTAAAGCTATAGTCTTGGAAGACCTGGCCCAAATAATTATGGCAGTTTGTGCTATTTCTGCTTTCCTCTCGTGGGGAGCTCTTGAAGTTACCTCTCCAACTTCATCCTCTTCAGTACAAATTTAACGGGGTAAGCAATAGTGGGCTGCCCTGGCAGAATAGGAATGGCATCAACTTCCACAACCATCAGTGCACTTTATATCTGATCACAGTCAAATGCCTAAATTGTTCACATATTACCAAAGACAAAGCTGAAGACTATATTAGATAGAGCTACATGCATTTGAAGCGTAAGGCCACTGTGAAAGTTAGAAATCAAATACAAATAATTTTTAGTATGTCTATTAACTACAGAATGTCATTTAAGTGTACATACAGTCTTTTCTTGAACTGCTTAAAATTTTACCTGGTTATTAAGCCCCCTGTCAATAATATGAAATGTTTTGAAAAGCTTAAAACACAAGCTTTTTGGGTATTTCCCATGCAAATTCTTCTCTTCCAAAGTGCCCATAGCATGCTGTTTTTTGATAGATTGGCCTCTTCAAATCCAGCTCCCTAAATGAAAAGAAAAAACCAAAAGTGGTTCTCACACTTAACTCTACTCCAACGTACATTATGATCTGGAAATACCAGAAGCATAATCAGTATCATCCCCGGGAGAATGACAGTAAAACCTTGCTGTCATTTCCTTCCCCACACAGATTTACAGAAAGAAAGACAGTATGCTGACGGTTTCAACTTTAAAGTGACTAGAAACAGCCAGGTGTCTTCCAGTGTCTCAGAGGTGCAGTAAGTATGCAGTTAGGCTTTATAAACGTTACAATGCAGAAGCATTTTAATCGGAACCAAGTCCAGCTACACCTGGGCAAGCATCAATGTGTTTTCTGTTATTTCAAGTGTAACATGGGACATCTTCTAATGCTACTGGGCCAGAAAGAAAACGATCTCAAAAGAAGCTGCCAAAGATGATGATCTAGCAGACTAGGTAACTGTGGAGGTTTAACTGCTTATGTAGATACACTAAGTCACTATTTAGAGTAGGGTGCTTAAGATGAGTTAATTATAACTAGATAAATAATGAAGGTGGAAGTGCTTTTTAGCCTGCATAATATAGTGGATAGCAGCTGTGCTAAATGGTTGGCTACCGGTATCTACGTAGAAGTTTCTCTTTGTTTCATGAAAGGCCTGAAACATTTTCATCTGCTTGGGCTTTCTTCTATTGTATTATCTTGCTTTAATGATCTTTGAAAGCACGTTTAGAATAGACGATTCATGTTGTAAACTGCTGGAGAGAAAAGTAGTGGAGAAATGACAAAGTAAGAAGTACAAACACCAACAGGATAGCCAGTACATTTCAGATGGTGAAGAGATCACACGTTCTCACACTTATGTGGACATTTATGACATAGAGCAGCTATGTCTTCCTTCAAGTAGTATTTTGTGCAACATGGTCACATTCTGCAATGGCTACTGCAGTAGTCATTTGTGCTTGACCCTAAGCCAGAAGGCGTCAAAATATGAGTGCTGACTAAATGAAAATTATGTCAATGAATAGTTGGCTAAAATGGACAGCCAGCACCACTTCCAGGATTTTAAATACTGTGAGGCAATGTTTAACAAGGAAATATTCACTCAATGATGTTCATGGTTTTGCCAGCTTTCTTCCTTTTCTACTGCCTTCACCACTGCCAGGACTGTGTGTATTTTTAAAATGCAGCATATTTTAATCCAACAAATCAAGGTGAACGTCTGTGAATCACCACACAAATTATTGTTAGTGATGAACTACCATAATGACAAAGTTAAAGAACAGTTTTGATTGTATTTGTGAACTGATAACACTTGGAAAACATTATCTATCAATAGAAGTTGCCATAATGCCTCACATTATCTCAGACTATTAAAGTAATAAATCAGCTCTGGCCTCAGCATATATATTCCATACCCTGAAAAGGAATGCAAAAGGCTTACCATATCAGTTGATATAGCTTGTCAGAAATGTCTTTCCTTTTCAAAGGAAAAAAAGTCCTCTTATTCACTAACATGTTGATATTTTTTTTCCCTCAGAGTCAAATATGCTCAAGATTGCTCTGGAATATAGAGACTTGAATGATCTTAAGTGAATCATTAAAAGCATTTTTCTCAAATAATGAGATAGCTAACATACATGTTTCAGCATTTTAGAACAGAACTTTTAAAACCTGCATTGCTCAAAATGACAAAGTCTGCATGGACTCAAGTTCTTGCTGGTATCTATCTCAAGTTGAACTCCCATGTCAATTTCACAGACTTAAAATAAGGGTTGAACTCACAACGTGGATGCTCCCTTAAAAGAGAAAAGCTATAGTGTTTCCATTAATTCCTCTCCGATAGTTGTGTATTTCACAAAACTTTTAAGAGGACAGGTTTGGTGAAAATCAGCCAAGAGATGAGGAAGTTCATCAGGACTGAGAAGATGAACCTGTACCATTAGGTCTTAGGAAGCTGTACTACAAATAGGCAAGAAAACTGTGCCTCTTAAAAGTTCACATAAACAATCATATAAGTTAGTCATAAATGGGAGAAAAATCAATGAAAAATGCTCAGGTCAAATTACAGCTCACTGGAATGCAGGTGGGTAACTGATGATAAGGACAGGTGCTGATCTGTTTCTCTCCTTCAGCCCTTTCTTCTCTCAAAGAAAAGAGTAATTCCCATGCTTCTTTATGTGTAAGGATTATATTAGACTAAAAGACCTGCTTTTTCAGGCCCGTTAATATTCCAGAAAGGGTGGGCTGCAAAAGGCAACAGTTATTAGGTTTGGGTTTGCATGTCTTCTCTGGCTGCATAATAGCCTCAATGACACACTTGATCACAACTGAATTTTGTCTTCAAGACAGACCATCTCGTGGCTATTCTTGTTCTGGTTTTAAATTCACACAATAGTTCAGTTACCAGATCCTTAGAGAGCATGTAAGAAACCTGGATTCCTTTTTAGTTAGGTTTAGTTCACTTCAAACAGGCTGCACAAAACTGCATGACAACCAGAGACAGGCTCTCAGTGTTCAGTTTCCCCCTGTGTGTGCCAGGGCAAATTACTGCACGTAATGTCCCACTCATTTCAACAGGATTGCTCGTGACGTGAGAGCACCAGAGCCCTTCCATCTCCTCGCAGCTGTCTCGTAAGTTGTTGCCACCTGAACATCAAAGGCACGGAGACCACACTTACCTCAGTACTGCTTTCAGAAAGAGCCAATATTTCTGTTGCCTTTCAGATAAGGCAGCGATGTGGAGCCTTACACACCCTGTAAGCAAACTGGAAAGCCTAACTACATCTTATGTTAAACTTTAATTCTACTTTACCAAGCAAACTACCGCCTGGCTAATGAACTGCAACATAATTCACTATCAGGGTTGCATGTAGACATATATGGTGTAATTTAGGTAGGTCTTAGTTATTCAGTGCATTTTGTGGCTAGATTTATCAATTGGCCCTTTTATGCTGTGCTGGGAGCATGGATGAAGGAAGAGCAGAAATTATAGCAATTAGCAATTTATGACAAAGGTGACTTTCTTGAGGTTATAAGCCAGAAAGTTAAACTGTTAAAGAGAGCATTAAAGACATGATTCCATACAGTAAATACTAACATCACACAAACCTTATGATAGCTCCAAGGCGCAGATCAAAGTTTTTCTGGACAATTTCAAGCAGTTCTTCTTCAGATCTGTCTGATGTTCCATAATGAAACACTGAGATCGCAAGAGGACAACTCAGACCGATAGCATATGATAGCTGTAGGACACATGGAAACAACCCAAATACGGTTAACACAGACCTTCCTACTTTTTGCTTAAGAAAAAGGAAAGGCTCATCACATGTGTCAGGGCAGTTTGCAAACATCTTGTCTCCACAAAGGAAAGCAGGGGATATGCTTTTGCTATTTGTCTTTTATGTTAGAAAATTATGTTTTCCTCAGAGAACGTTCAGCCTGGTCAAATACTAGACCTGGGTGACATTCCTTTAAAGCAAAAGAGGTACTTTCTGTCCTTCTCAGGTACTGCCATTCTTCATGCAGTTCCCTCTATTATCCGTCTTGCCCTTTCAGTATGAGAGTTGGTTAGCATGTAAACAATATCCATAGGAAAAACAGTTGTCATCCTCAGTGGAGGCTGGCAAAGTCTCAGCGTAGCACACAGCTATTAATGGGCTGAAAACACTTCTGCGTTTCCACTTCATTTTTCCTTTTGTTAATCTTTAATCCAGCCCTCCATGACTTCGCAGGACATTGGCTTCTCTGCTCTCCCATCCTCCATCTTACCTTCTTTGCTAATATCTGAGATCTCCATAATCTGCTGTTAAAAAAGTCAAACTTGCCTTGTCTAGAGAAAGGTTCATGTCTGAGAGAAGGTCCCTGAAAATTACTGGAATGACAACGTTCCCACCTAACTCAAAAATATAGACAGTGATGTAGGTGTTCAAAACTGACACTCAAAACGTGCATACCAAGAAATCAGAAGTTTATCTTCTGTCCCTTCAGAAAAAAAAAAAATTATCAACAACTGGCTAACCAACACTTCTTTGTGCCTGGCTTATTCTCAGTCTCGCCTTTTCCTGACTAACTCCAAACTAGCAGGTATCAAACATATGCACAACATCTAAAGCAAGGAGCCTTGTTCCTAATTGAGATGTCTGGATACTTATATCATGGATCATAACTACATCCAGTGGGCTTTTCTTTTGGTCCATGGACAACGTAAAATGTTTTAAACACACCTCTGCAGCAAAACATCAGCCAGATTGCTGCTACATTTTACTTATTTAGTAAATGAGCTGTGTAATGAGTTATTATGTAGCAGCTACTCAGAACCAGTATGTTCATAAACTAGTATTGCAAACTGCCTAGGCAAACTTCACTTGTTTAACAGCCACACTGGGTTCATATTTAATGGTGAAACTGTCTATGTGTCAATAAAACACCTCCTTCTGCTTCTTAGACATAGTAATAACAAAAATTCCTCCACAAGGAAAGAAGGGCATTTTGTTCTGAGTATACAAGGCCAATGAAGATTGTTCTTGCTTTAAACTCTCTAAAACAAGTGAATTTTGCTTGTAATCACATCTCACACCATAGCAGTGTACTAGGATTGTGAATGTAATTTCAAATGCAGCTTAAAACAGATTAAGTTACAACCAATATAATCATGTAATACAGCAAGTTGCACAACTACACCTAGACAGTGCTACCATAACTGCAATGTGCTGTGCAGCCCAGGCCGGAATGTCTCAGAATTTGGTGTATTACTTTCATGGTTTGTCTTACCTGGATTAGTACCCTTTTACACAGACCAGCTTTCACCAGAGATTTTGCAATCCAGCGAGCTGCGTAGGCTGCAGAACGATCAACTTTGGAGGGATCTTTCCCAGAGAATGCACCTCCACCATGGGCTCCCCAGCCTCCGTATGTATCAACAATGATCTTCCGACCAGTCAGTCCAGCATCGGTCTGAAAGACAAACAACTGAGTATATTCACAGGCACAATAGCTCATCCAATCCCATACTAGGTTAGTGGGTATAGCTTTGTTTGGTATTTGCCACAGATACAACTCTGTTCACAGTGTTCACATTCACATGCAACTGTTTAATGTAAGAGTTCTCTACATGACTGGAATACTTTTCAGAGATGTACTAAGCTGTCTGGGCTACAGTCACTTTTGAAAACCTTTAAGAATGTGGCACAACTGTAAACATGAGAAAAAGAAAGCTCACTTCAAATCAGCAATCATGAAATAGTGTTTCTGGGTTACTGGACAAAGTCTTCACTCAGCAACACTTTGATGAAGGCCAATAATTTAAAGCAACAAACGCAGATCACATATGACCGAAAAGGTTAACAAGCTTCACTTAGATACCCATACTAAATGGGAAGCAGGGGCTTCACGTAACTTCAACTCAGTGCTGTCAGAACATGAGTGCTGAGAAACTCTAGCTCAGTTCATGTTAATGGTTTAGTAGTGACACTAGTGACACAAGTGATACTACTCTTCTTCCTTCACTCCTGTGCTCCTGATAATGGAGTCCCATGCTCTTGTGTAGACTTTTTTTCTGCCTCCTACAACTTGATGAACTGATCTAACTTGCTCAACCAGCAGAGAATTACTGCCTCTCTGTCAGATTAGCAAAGCTGGCAATGGTGTGTTGATAAATGAACTCCAGAGTGCCGAGAAATTCCATCCTAAAAGAAGATAAACTGCACTAATCCACTATTTTTATATCTCCAAATAAGTAGTGTGGGAGCAAAGCTGACATCTTTTTCTCATTGAAAGGGGTATCCCTACATCAGCCCAGTGTCATCATAAGCAGATCTTGTAGTTTTAATTCTTATGAAGTCTTCATACAAAACTGTAAAGTTTTCTGTAACATACTTTTTTTACAATTTCACAGCAATGACCTTCTTATCTAGTACCAGCACATGGTAAGCAGAACATGCATCAAATTCCAATGACTACTGAGACTTAATACATTAGGCCTCCCTTGAAATTCGTTCCACTTTACAAATAATTTCTATGTATATATTAGATCTATTGTTATTTCTGGTTTCGATTTTTATCGTGAAAGTGAAGAGATAGTTCCAGCCAGACATTTTAGCATGTAACTTAAGGACTGCATTTTGCTCATTTGAAATACTTTCTGAAAGCAAGACGGAGATCCAAGAATCTGTACATTTGGCTGTCGAAGCAGGTAGAGCTTCAGTTTAGATACCAGCTGTCCAGTAAGAAAACTCCAGTAGGGATGACTGAAGCTTCCTTAAAAATGTATAGACTTCTTGGTTAAAGGTATGCTAGTTCACTGTATTATTGTTTAAGAGAACATTCACGAGCATGTGGCAAAGTAGAATCCAAGTCTGTATAGGCTATCATTTTTCAAAGTACCTTAGGACCACCTTCTATAAACTTTTCACTTGGAAGGAGATGATAAATGGTGTCCTCATCAAGATACTTCTCTGGAATGACTTTTTTAACAACTTTCTCCATTAGCTCCTTCTGTATTTGTTGCAGTGTTATGTCTGGGGCATGATTTACTGAAATCACCAGTGTGTGCACTCGGATGGGCTCCAGTGTGCCATTACACTCCTTGTATTCCATTGTGACCTGGTGAGAAAAAAAAAAAAAAAGGACAGTGAACGCTCAGGGCCAAAAGAACCAGTCTGAGAGCTGCAAATGAACCTCAGCTATTTTCTGCAGCCAAAAATTAACAGATGAAGAGAAATAGGATGAAAAATGATGGATTGCTGTCAATGCTTAAAGTCATTGTAAAGAAAAAGAAATACAGAAAGTACTGAAGTACTACTACCAGAAGAGCTAACTAAAGGACATTACATATCGCCACAGAAAAGCAAAACAACAAGGAAGTTACAAAATCCTATGATTTTAGCAGTTGATGCTAAAATCATTCATGGTCTGGTATGCTAACCTAATTTCAGATAGTAGATTACCAAAGTAAAACCTAAATAAATTTTGGAGAACCCTGCTAAAACGAACAACTGTAGATCAGATTATAGGCTGTATCCTTTGCTCCTAACTATTGTACATGGCTTTTATGTGCATGCAAATATTAACTGGCAGTGCTTCATCCTTAGTATCTGTTTTCTTACAGACTAGAGTGGTCTCTCTACTTTCCCACCCTTCAGACATGCTTGAATAGGTACATCTTAGAGAAATCATCTTATTCACATGTTCACGTAGTCCTGTCAAGATGTAGGGATTAAATCCATGTTGTACTGCAACAACAGCAGCAGTATAACCCAATGCAATTCCACACTAAATACCAGAACTTAAGACTAAAACATCTCGCTGTCTTAGAAATGCCACGTGCATGTCTTTCCTTTCCTTACCTGCAGATTTTAGAGCCTGGAAGACAGAACTTACTGTCTTTGAGACATCCAAAGTGCATCACACTTACAATAGGCTCAGTGACTCATCCACTCAGCTCTGCAACACAGCTGTCAGTGGTTAAATTTGCTCAGGAAAAAAAAAAAATCCAGCTGATCATTGGTAATTTGTTGATATTCTTAATTTCCAGGGGGGAAAGAAGGAAAATACAAGTATTGTTTTGAGGAGACCTGCTAAGACACTGATAGAACAGTTTAAACAAACCATATGTGCTACATACAAATGGTACCTTATCAAACTCACACCTCCTTGGATCATAATAATGACAGCACCATTTTTGACAAACATGAAATCTGATATAATAGCACATAGGGTAAATGATTGCTATTGTTTCTCACCTTTACAGTTCATGCATCTATGTTACAAACCTGTGTTTTCCCATCTGGTCTAACCCAAGGCCACGTTCCATTCCGTTCCAGAGCCCTTATAGTTGCAGTTAGTTTGTGTGCCAGGAGGATTGTTAAGGGCATACATTCCTCAGTTTCATCAGTAGCATAGCCAAACATCAAACCCTGCATCAAAAAACAGGGAACTGCATTGAAAAATGGGAAAATAAGCTGCTCATTTCCATATTCGCTTTCCATTTCTGCACTTGTCTTTGCCACATAGTACTTTAAAATCACCCAAGCTTAGCAAGAGACAGCAGCAACATGCAGAGTTAACACCCTTTGACACATAACCAGCCTGAAATAACATTTATGTGCAAGAATCAGAACCACAGCAGGGGCTGGTTCCCAAGAATGGTTCTGCCTTAAAAATCCATAAGATCCCTCTTCAAAGTCTTCATAAACATAAAGCTCATTAAGACTGCTTAGTTTTCTCCCCACACATGACAACTGAAATCTCACAGCAGTTGTTGCCTGAGAAGTAAAACTAGGCTAACCAAGGACTTGAAAGACCAGAAACTAACCAACTGATAAAAATGAAATTGTAGCTCTATCCCGTTAAGGACACTTGATACAGGGAAAGCCACTTTCCTTGAAACTAGTGAAGGCTGCAATACTTTTTTTGCACTTCCGGTGATTTAAAAGAGTTCTAATTCTTACAGTTTGAGCAATAGTTTTTAAGGAAAGTCTCTGGTCCAATGTAATTGCAATTGCTTGCACATTTACTAGATTTGAGTAAGTGTCTGGAATTACCTGATCCCCTGCTCCAATGTCATCATCACACTTGCCATGGGAGATAGCATCCTTGATCTCTTTACACTGCTGTTCCAAGGCCACTAAAACTGTGCAAGTCTTATAGTCCAGTCCTAGTGAAGGGAGTTTTGGGAAGTCAGGTCATATATTCCCAAGAGTTCACAAACTGCTGGAGAAGTTTTTAAGGATTATCTATTTATCTTGGCTAAAACTTTCAAAACTCTAAACACGTAAACTTCCTATACTACATTTTTTTATTGCCAACAGAAGCAGACAATGAGCACATTTATATAACAGTTCCACGATATGGGAAAATTAGTTCTATTAGGTCAAACTTAAATTCTTTAAATTGACAGCATAAGTGTAATCCTACAAGCTGCCCCACCCAAGCTTGTTACATTGTTTATTATTATTGGGGTTCAAACCATTTGCTATCAAATCTGGGAGAGGAGTGTGGAAAATGTTGCCAGAAACCGATGTTCAGTTTTTCTTGTAGTGTGTTCTAGGGTTCAATAGAATGAGAGAAAAAATGTATATGTCATGCATGAAAAGGGAAGACTGAAGGGAAATAGTAACGTGTTTCAACTGCTGAAAGGAAACTACTTTGGGATATATGTTAAGAATACATAAAGAATTCCCATTTGTGTGAACTTCAAGTGTCACAGGCTTATGCACCCCAAGGACAAGTAACATCAGTGTTAAAGCTTTCATAGCACAAACCTACAGATGCACCCACCTTCTGACATATGTGCAAAACCTAGCTCTTCTGCATCAGAGAAGCAAGAGACACCTGGCTCTTTCAAGAATAAGTCTTTTATAAGTATGCCACCTTAAAATAGCTCCTTCAATACTACACACTGAAAATTACACATCAACAATATCTGTGAGTTTTCTCCTAGGCCCGGATACCCATTTCACTTCTTTCTCCAGAAGAACATTAAAAACATGACTTTGGCCACACACAGAACAGACTTAAGAATGGACACATGTAGGATCTCACTCACCTTTGGAAGAGTCATCATATCCTATCCTCTTAAGGGTCTCTCTCACAATTTGTTGGTAATCTACTATAGCTCGGGATGTGATCTCTCCACAGAGCAAAATCATTCCAGTTTTTGCTACACACTCTGGAGAAAATATGAAACATCAGAATTTTACTGCTACTATTCTACAGTTACACAGAGAGATCCTGAAGATGGTTCTACAAGCAAAGGACTAATCATAAGGGAAACTCAGTGTAAAGCCTTAGCCTTACACCTTATACCTAGAGGTCTGTGTGCAATCACTCTTCTCCTCATCTGACATGAACATTTAAATGCCTGCATGTGGTGGGGATCTCCTGTACCCAGTTATCCTATCTCCACAATGGCCAGCAGAAAATATTTATAAGAATAGATCAAGTATATAAGGCTGTTTCTCCAAGTAATTGCCTGGTCTTCAGCAGTTTCAGGTCAGAATTTTCCTGAAGCTAAAGGGACATAATTTATTAACAGATGGTTTTACCAGTCTTTGATGTATTTTTGTTACTGTAATTCCTCCAGTTGCCCTTGGCAACCACAAAAACTTTTAGCTTCTACAAGATCCTGCAGCAAGAAGCAATGCAATTTCATGGCAAATTTTGTGCACAATCACTTCATATTTTATTTCTTCGTTTCTTTCAAGAGTCCACTTGGTTTCCAAACTTTTCCATTTTATGTAAAAACACATAGCAAACAATCACAAAAAAATTTACTACAACAATATGACCTACTATCTATGTAATTACGTCACATCTCAGTCTTCTGTCTTGGTAAGACAAATTGATGGTGTTTCTCACATCTCTTATCACGTTTTTCGTTGTTATTTTTGCAGCATTCCTATGTTATCATCTTCAGCTTTTCAGCAGTTTTGGAACCATAACTGCCTGCAATACTGAAATACACCCTTCATCAAGTCTAACACTTATGCTAACCCCTCCCTCCACATCTCCTCACTGCTCACATCTGTGCATCAAGGTTCACATAAAATTTTTCAGATGAAGTGTCAGATTAGATCACTGTGTTTATGGGATGCAGCTAGTCCTCTGTGCTGTAACTATGACCTTGATGGCTCGTTCTAAAAATAAAATTATGGTATTTGGAAAGCTCTTTAGACACATTCCCTTTCTGTGCGTACTCCACTGTGGCAACCCAGCTTCTTCCAATTGGATAATATGTTCACAGCCTCTGTGGGTGATATGGTAATGCATGCAGAATACAGCATAGTCCTAATGGAAAGTCCCACAAAAAAATCAAGCCACTTTGATCAGAATCACATTCAAATGAACTTATCCTTCTGTGAACAACAGGCACCGCCGTATTCACCCTATAAAGACATGCACCTTGACATATATCTTTCCTCAGTTCTTTTTTCCTCTAATTTTCTTAGTTTCCTCTTTATTATCATCTTCAACAGCCACAGTTTCCCCTGATACCAATGGCTTCTCCTGCTCTACTTCTTATATGTCATCACTTTTAATTTGCACTGAGCTACGTGTATTTCTGTTCATTTTTTGCAGTGTTTTTTCTGCCTTCTCTTCTCCTCTGAATAAGTGAGCCAAAGCTAGCCTCTTGACTGACTGTGGAAATCTTGACTGACAGCCAGCTGTTGGAAGAATTTTGGATCAAAGGATACTATATCAACATTGACTACTTGTTGTACTTCATTAATCTGTTTTTCTGTCTGGATTGTACTTACCACAGGCAACCTTGGCATCTGGATCAATACTGAGATGAGCATCTACGACAGCATCACTTATCTGATCACATATCTTATCTAGAAGATAAAAATAAGATAGACATCGCATTTCTTTTTGTAATTAAAAAAATTGATTTCTTCATAAAATTTAATTCCCAGAGGGCAAGAAACTTCTTTTTATAGGGCATCTGCCAAGAAGCAATTTTACCAGCTTATATTCTGAAAGGTATGTTTTCACTTCTCTCCTCAAGTCACTTCTATCTGACATTTTACTGTCATCTGCACAGGCCAGCAGCCTCCCAGCGAGGGGACAATGAAAAAGGCTTGCAAAGGCATCCTGAAATAATAATTTCAGGAGAATAGAAGATGTAGTAGTTTTGGAAGTGTTTAAGCTAGGACCTTTCTGTAGCAGTTGTGCACTCTTCTCCTCTTCTATTTCAAACTTTGTATTGCATTTTCTGTATGAATTACTTGTTTTAACCTACATCTTATAACTGTCTGAGATTTGCATTTCCAGTACTGTTTGTCCCTTCTGTACCTGCAGTGTGGACCTCTGAAATCTCACATGTGAACGCTTTCAGATGACAAGAGACATTGCCCTCCCTACAAAGGGTACTGAAGTCCACTCCTGCAAATATGCACTGCTACCTGGCTCATTCAAGTTTAGAAAAGCTTCTGCAAATTTTCTCTCAGGGACAAATATTGGCCCCTCACAAATTTTCACAGTTATTTCTGAGAGCTGGTCTTCCTGTTTTAGGAAAAAAGCACTGCAGAAAAAAAGTTTTACCTATTCTGTCTTTAGCACCTGTGACCCGTTGTCCAAATAAGACCTCAGTATGCCAAACACATTTGGCTTGTTAAAAGTTAATGAACAATTTCGTGGACAAATTGATTATATCTCGTTAATGTAAACGGAACCAGGTAAAAGCAATCCATGTTATTACTTCCAAAGTACGTGTTTGAAAGGTTGCATATCTGCAGAACTAACATGAGGAATAAGAATTAATTTTCACCCACCATCATTAACAGAAAAAATTTATCCAAAATATGTTCAGCACAGCTGGATCTACAACACTGTCTGTATCAGTAAGTCAGGTGCCTGTATAGTTTGTAATAGTCTGTGTAATTATACATGTAATTGCCAATTGAAAATAACTTCTCTCAAGGGCCCACAGAGAAAATTAATGTAGAATCATAACTGAATGTCCACACCACCTTAAACTACTTATTTACTTTTACAGACAATCTAGTTTGGAAGCAAACAAACATCAGAATGAAATTATAAGGCGAGACTAGAGTTACTCTGTACCACAAAAGAACTGTAATTCAATGCAAAGTTTAAGTGTAAACTGAATTTTGTGTGAACCGTAAGGTAATATCTTACAGTACAATCTAAAAGCAAGGAAAAGTGAGATGTGCTAGCCTGTAGCTTTGAATAGATAAACCACTGTGCTATCAATATCACCACACTCAAATACAAACTAAACCCAAAAGCAAAGCATGAATGCTAAAAATACATGTGCCCCTTCTATTCATACAGGCTACAGTGACTTCAGCATGAGATTTTTTATGGAAGGGCAGAGGTTGCTTCTTCACTGGCATAATTTTCACAATCTGAATCAGCAACTTCTGTATCTTTTATGTTCTGTTTCTAGCATTTTCCCCAAACAAGCTGAAAGTACACATTTCACTGTGCACTTCTTGATCATTTGCAAAGTAAGTCCAACAATTTAGAGGCCCGAAGAAAAAGCAAAACAGAACAAAGGAACAAAAACCACACCAACTCGATAGCTGTAAAGCTGCATTATTTCGCAGCTTAAACATTATCTTCCTGAAATTTCTTGCAAGCACATTCACTCAAAGATTACAAATCCTGGTTCCAAAGTTTATCACCTGACAAACTGAGTTCTGAAGACTGTGAAATTGATCCACACCGAAGGGTCCAATGCCCAAGCAGCAACTGTTAAGTTTTACTGCCTTCAGCTGCGTACACAATTACAACAACCAGTGCACTGTTCTAAAGCAAACAAGTGGTTATGGTGGTTCAAGATACAGGTGCCACATGCTGCAGTGGTCTTGCAGTTGGACTTTTCAGTAGGAGTCGGGCAGACAGGCTGGTATAACTTGTTTCATGCTGTACCATTCCCACCTAATGAGTAAGAGTCCTGAGAATATGGATACACTTGTCTGCAAATGTTCCATGTTTGACACCACACTGTTTTTCTATTTTTTTTTTGTCTTTCCTTCTACTATGGAAAAAGTAAGAAGTAATGCTTTTTTTAGTCTAAACATTAAAATGCTCCATATGAAGGTACTGACATAGAAGGAAATGTTAGTACCCTTACTGTAAATCTGAGTCACTACTGTGCCTCTTGGAGGTCCAAACTTCCTCCAGTCCCTCAGTTAACATGGCCTCTAGATTGGTGTTGGTTTAAACAAAGCTGTATGAAAATTAGCTGATTTTAGTGAACAGCAATTAGGGCTGAAGCATTGTCTGCACTTCCAGACCTGGAAAATTCAATGGTTTTGTACATCCTACACCATATGCAAACTTGTGTTAGAGAGAGCAGTGTGACACATAGACACATGCAGTATTATAGCAGTCACTGGAATAGAGCTCTGATGAAAATTAATGCTTATTACTCCAAACATTTCAGAGATTCGGAGTTCAATGACCACCTATAATATACATGTGCATAAAGTATTATTTTTTTCATTACAGAATAAAAAGTAAAATTGTAATTCCAGTATACATGGCAGCTGCAAGTCTACCTGTACAGGACCAATCCATGCTTTCTAAAGCAAATTTTTTAAGTTATCTATACCAGATTATATTGCATATTAAACAAATAGGGCACATTCTAGTCAAGTAAAGACACTAATCTGAAACTATTAAAAATAATCAATTGGGTTTTTCTATCAATTTCTCCATTGCAAGAGATATGACTGAACTTCCATCAGATAGCATTCTTCACTGAGAAGTATTAATAAAAACAAAGATATAATCAGAATTTTTACTTACCAGAATGTCCTTCAGCAACAGATTCTGAGGTAAAAAGAAATCGTTTTTCTTTTTTTGCAGTGTGAATTGACATGTCTTTGTATCTTTCACAAGCTTGCAAATGAGAAAGACCCGAAGCAAGTGGACTACAGAACAAGCACAAGCAGAAGGTGAAGTGGAAAGGTTAATGTGCCTGCGCAAACAGCTGACGTAATTGCTCCTCTCTGTTTGCTCCTTGGAAGTTCAACAGGTTAAGACTGATCTGTGTGGCTTTTACTGCTTTTTATGCACTGCTACAGAAACTTCTTTCATAAGACTCTCATGTGTGGTTAACCTCCTACTTTTGCACGCTTCCTCTAGCCTCCATTCTTAATTGCTGACTAAAAAGCACTTCAAGATGAGATGTTATCTCAGCACTGAGATGTTATCTGAATTTGTAGGGACAAATGATGTTTTCAACTAGGCACAGTATCCATAGTTCGTACTCATCTGCAGTAGCGAACTGTGCAGAAATGTGTCTCTCTTTACCTGAGAACAAATGTTCATAACGGTTCCAGGTGGTAAGAACTGTGCTCTTCTTCCACAATACTGTTTATGTCAGAGGCTAAGTCAAGAGCTCTAGAGCAACAAAACAGCATGCTCTGTAGAAACAGGGGTGAAGACAGTGGGTTCATTATAAGCTACCTTGAATTCTGAGACTAAAAGCTATGCCCTAGCTCAATGAATCTTAAACTTGTTAGTGCTCAGGCTCTCACAATTCATTTTACAAACCCCTTTTCTCCTGCTGTTTGCCTTGATGGAGGGACACTAGTAGGGAACAGCTAGACTCAAGTATCCAAACTAAGCAAGGAAGTGCTGCCCATTTGGAAGCACTATTTCCCTTTGGCTTATTTCATACATATACATATGCAATACAGTGCAACAACACACCTGAGCACCTGAGTGCAGCACAGTATCAAAAGGCTGCCTAGACACAACAGGTGTGTCTAGTCTTAAAAACCCTTGTGCTGCTGAGCAGCTCTACGCTGCTGCAATACATTTTGTTGAGCTCAGCTTCTCCAAATCACATGTCATTTCTGAAAATGTTGCTCCGTAACCTAGGCATGTTAAACATCGGCAAGAGTGGTACTGAGATGCAGGTCAAATTTCAGTGACAACAGAAGGCTTTACAACTGGCCATCACAAGCAAACCACATTCCTTACTGGACCACCAGTCTCACAAGAGATGTGTGTTCATTCTGCAAAGAAGTCTTCAGTGCTAGGAAGCAGCATGCCTGCATTTCAAGGCACTTCCCAGAAGTGAGGTATATGAAGTAATAAAAGCAGTAATGAAGGCAAGGCACTTAAACAAATAAGACAAAGCCAACCCTCAAAAAAATAAAGCAAAATTGTATCTCAGCTGCAATGCCTGGAGAAGGCACATCCTAACTATGGTAACTCAGGTGGTAGCTAGTATGCTGCAAGAGGTTTGTCACTCTCAGAGAAAAACCAGCCCTCTGGAAAGGGATACATGAAGAGGTGACTTAGTTGAAGGAAAGAGACCATCTGCACCCCTTTTGGTTTTGTCTTTTTGTTTTGTTTTGTTTTAAATCCTAGGAACAAAAGTTTTGTGTACATAACAGCAAAAAAACCACTGGTTCTCCAGAGGACAACGGTTGTTAAAGTGTTTGTGGAGGAGAGCAATAAAGAGAAGACTTTAAACCACAGTTAAGAATTATCAGAAATGCCCTATGAAATCCATTAACTCATCTATTTCGTTGCCTTTCTTTCATATCAGAATTTATTACGATACAATAAAAAACTAAACTAGTCATACAGAGATTTGTGTGCCTGGAAGTATTTAAATTCCGTGTAATAAATGCACTTCAAACTCAAGTTACATGTTCCATAAAACACTTCATACAAAGCAGTGAAAAACATTCATACGAATAATTTCAGTCTACCCAATCATTTATCCTTATTACAATACATTCTAAAACACTTGTGCTTTACACTGTTACACCTGGTAAGGTGATGGAACAGCTCATTCTGAAGGCCATTGCTATCCACATGGATGACAAGTAGAAGTAGTCAGCACTGACTGACTAAAAGGAAATCATGCTTAACCAACCTGATAGCCCTCTACAATAGGACAACCACCTGAATGGATGAAGGGACAGCAGCGGATATTGTCTACCTTGACTTCAGCAAGGCTTTCAACAGTTTCTCTAACAATATCCTGATAAGTAAGCTCAGGAATTGCAAGATGGACAAGTGGACAGAGAAATGAATCAAGAAGTGGATGAACAGCAGATCCCAGAGGACCATCAGTGGTACAGGGTGTAGTTGGAGGCCTGTTACTAGTGGTGCTCCCCAAGGTTCAATACTGGGCCCAGTACTGTTTAATTTGTTCATCAGTGACTTGGATAAAGGGGCAGATGCCTCCTCAGCAAGTTCAATGATGACACAAAGCCGGGAGGAGTTGCCAATACCCAAGAGGTATCACGTAGCCTTTCCAAAGGACCTCGACAGGCTGGAGGGATCATCAGAGCAGAAATGTCTGAAGTTCAACAAAGGCGAGGGTCCTGCACCTGGGGAGGGATCACCCCAGGCACGAGTAAAGGCTGGGGGCTGACCTGCTGGAAAGCAGCTCTGTGGAGAAAGACCTGGGGGTCCTGGCAGACAACAAGCTGTCCATGAGCCAGCAGTGTGCCTGTGTGGCCAAGAAGGCCAGTGGGATCCTGAGGTGCATTAGGAAGAGCATGGCCAGCAGGTCGAGTGTGCTGATTTTCCCTCTCCGCTGTGCCCTGGTGAGGCCACATCTGGAGTGCTGTGTCCAGTTCTGGGCTCCTCAGTACAAGAGACAGGATGCTCCTGGAACTGGTCTAGCAGAGGGCAAGAAAGATGATGAGAGGACTGGAGCATCTCTTTTTTGAGGAAAGGCTGGGGGAACCAGGCCTGTTCAGCCTGGAAAGGAGACAACTAAGAGGGAAGCTCTTAGTATGTAAGAGGTATATAAGTATATATATAATGTATAGAATGTATAGAATGTATATATATAATGTATATAATGTATGTAATGTATATAAGTATCTAAAGGGGGTGGGTGCCAAGAGGCTGAATTCAGACTCTTCTCGGTGGTGCTGAGCAATAGGATGAGAGGCAATGGGCAGAAACTGATGCACAGGAAGTCCCACCTGAATATGAGGAAGACCTCATTTACTGTGCAGGTTACTGAGCACTGGAACAGGTTGTCCAGAGAGATCATGGAGTCTTCTGCTCTGGAGATAAGCCCTGTGGACACAGTCCTGAGTAACGAGCTGTAAGGGACCCTGTTTGAGCAGAGTTGGACCAGATGACCTCTGGTGGTCCCTTCCAACCTTACCTATTCTGTGGTTGTGTCTTATACAATATTCTCACTCAACATATATTCCCCAGTAGGGTACACGTATACTCCAAAAGACTGAAAGTAAAAGGAAAAAAAAAATTACAAAGAACAGTCAATATTTTCTGAGTCCTGCATTAAAAGTATAGAAATATGGCAGAAAATAAACTCTCTGGTCTTGGGAGATCAGAGGGGCTGGCTGCCACTAGGCTTCATTTCTGATTATAACCAACTAGGCACTATAAGTCTGGTTATGTTCACTGAGATCCCAGGTGCACAAATAGTGTGGAAATTTCCTGTGTTCCAGTTTCTGACTGTTGCCTCTGGTGCTATTGCTCAGCACCACTGAGAAGAGCCTGTATCCATCCTCTTGGTATGTCCCCCCCCCTTTAGACACTTACATACATTGATGAGGCCCCTCTCAGCCATGTCTTCTTGAGGCTGAACAGGTCCAGCTCCCTCAGCCTTTCCTCGTAAGAGAGATGCTCCAGTCCCCTCATCACCTTCACAGCCCTCCGCTGGACCCACTCCAGGAGCTCCATGTCCCTCTTGTCCTGAGCAGCCCAGAACTGGACACAGCACTCCAGATGTGCCTCACCAGGGCTGAGTGGAGCTGCAGGATCACGTCCCTAGACCTGCTGGCAATGCTCTTCCCTTTCTAAAAATGAAACTTGTTTGAGGAATATCAATTGGTTCTCCAAGAGAGAATCAATGGTCCTTTGCCTCTTCCGTTGATGCTTCCTTGGCCGAGCATGGAAAACACCATCAGTGTCACTGGATTCAGGATGCTGCAATGGAAAACAGAGAGATCAACTGGAAGGCCTTTTAAAGGTGGGGTATCGCTTCTTCAATACGGATCTGAATCACGGGTCATCTACCGCCACCACCTGCGTCTCCTAGAACGCTTCCATCAACGCTGCCTCCGTACAATCCTAAACATCCACTGGTCAGATGATGTGACCAATACATCTGTTCTAGAGCAAGCAGCAGTCACAAGTATTGAGGCCGTGTTGCTGAGAACACAGCTGTGCTGGGCAGGGTACGTCTCCAGGATGAAGGACCAACCACCCCCTCCCTAAGATCCTGCTCTATGGTGAACTTGCCACTGGCTGCTGCAAGAGAGGAGCCCCGAAGGGGAGATACAAGGACTCCCTGAAACAACATCTCAGCCTTGGCCATGTTGATCACCNGCCTTTTAAAGGTGGGGTATCGCTTCTTCAATACGGATCTGAATCACGGGTCATCTACCGCCACCACCTGCGTCTCCTAGAACGCTTCCATCAACACCGCCTCTGTACAATCCTAAACATCCACTGGTCAGATGATGTGACCAATACATCTGTTCTAGAGCAAGCAGCAGTCACAAGTATTGAGGCCGTGTTGCTGAGAACACAGCTGTGCTGGGCAGGGTACGTCTCCAGGATGAAGGACCAACCACCCCCTCCCTAAGATCCTGCTCTATGGTGAACTTGCCACTGGCTGCTGCAAGAGAGGAGCCCCGAAGGGGAGATACAAGGACTCCCTGAAACAACATCTCAGCCTTGGCCATGTTGATCACCGTAACTGGTCTGCTCTGGCCTCAAATCGGGAGGCCTGGATAATCTATAACACAGCTGTCTCCTTTGAGAACGCACACAGGATCACTCTCGAGGAGAAAAGGCAAGGCAGAAAGAACCGTGTCTTGCAGAATATACCATCTAAGGAGTCTTTCTGCTGTGCCTTTTGCAATTGGATATGTCTATCTCGTATTGGCCTCATTAGCCACCAGCGTGCCTGTAACAAATGTGGATAGAGCCTTCCCAAATCTTCGTTCGCGAAGCCTAGCCATCATCGCTTCCTCAGGCGCCGAACGCCCAGCATCACCGCCGTTCTCTCACGCGTGTTCGCTAACCACCAGGAGCAGCGCTGCCCCGGCCCGGGACCCGAGGAGGAGCCGGCGGCTCCCGCCCCTCCGCGGGGCCGTGAGGGGAAGCGCCGCCCCCGCCGCCGCCGCGGGCGGGGCGCAGCGGGGCCATGTCGGCTCCGCGGGCCGAGGAGCGCGGCCGGGGGCTGGAGCCGGAGCCGGGCAGCTGTAGCACCCAGACATCGCACCGGCTGCTGGCCTACAGCGATGCGCTGCTCTCCATCATCGCCACCGTGATGGTGAGCGCTCGGCGGCGGGAGAGGGAGGGAGGGAGGGAGGGAAGCAGGCAGGGAAGGAGGGAAGGAGGGAGGGCGAGTGCTGGAGCGGCCGCGGCTGCTCCCGGGTTTCCGGGTCGCGCCCGTGCCTGTCCGGCCCGCCCGGCGCTCCCGCGGGGCCCGGCCCCGCCCGCGGCGCTGTCGCGACATTGGGGGGCGGTCCCCGAGCCCCGCAGTGTCGGCGGTGCCGGCCGTGGCCCAAGAGCGGATGTGCCTCCCAGGCTGCTCGTGGCCGCGCCATCCGGCAATACTGGCGGCCGCCTGAAGTTTGTTGCGTTTTAGCGAGGCTCTTAACAAGAAAAAGAATGTCATGTACTAATAAGCATTTTGTTATTTCAGATTTTGCCGGTGGCTCACACAAAAATACATCCTGATCAGGTATCACGTGTGTTTTGTTGTTTCTCGTGATCTCTCAAGTAGATGTAGCATCCTTATATAGCAGTCCTGCTTCATTTTGAGTTCCAGGCTTTAAAGAGCTGAAAACTGTTAAGTAACATTAAGCCCAGTAGAAATTTTGCATAGGGGATGACCTGGTGAACTCTGGGTGAAAAATTAAATACCAAAGACTCATGTTATCTGCATACATTGAGACATAAAGCCTGAATAAGCTGTATATTGTAGGCCAGAGATTTTATAGTTACTTTTCTATGAACTAGAAATTGCCCATCGGACCAAAACATCTTTCAGAAAGCATCTGCTCTTCTTGGTAATAAATCATCACTTAGAGAAGCTACTTATGTAGTGCAGTCTGAATGTTGGTGGGTAACATCAGGCTGGTGTCCAGTCACTAGTGGGGTTCTGCAGGGCTCCATTCTTGGCCCACTTCTCTTCAACATCTTCATCAATGACTTGGACGCTGTATGAAGATTAACAAGGGAAAGTGATGGATTCTGCACCTGGGATGGGGCAACCCTGGATGTTTGTACAGACTGGGGAATGAGATGCTGGAAAGCAGCACCACGGAAAGGGACCTGGGTGTCCTGGTCGATGTCAAGTTGAATCTGAGTCAGCAGTGCCCTGGCAGCCAGGAGGGCCAACCCTGTCCTGGGGACATCAGGCAAAGCATCACCAGCCGGGTGAGGGAGGGGATTGTCCTGCTCTGCTCTGCACTGGGGCGGCCTCACCTTGAATACTGTGTGCAGTTTTGGGCACTGCAATATAAGAAAGATATGAAGCTGTTAGAGAGTTTCCAAAGGAAGGCAACAAAGATGATGAAAGGTCTGGAGGGGAAGCCGTGTGGGAGCAGCTGAGGGCACTTGGTCTGTTCAGCCTTGAGAAGAGGAGACTGAGGGGAGAGCTCATTGGGTCTTCAAAATCCTCACAAAGGGAAGTGGAGGGCCAGGTACAGATCTCTTCCCTCTCGTGACCAATGACAGGACTTGAGGAAATGGCCTGAAGTTGTGTCAGGGGAGGTTTAGGTTAGATATCAAGAAAAGGTTCTTCACCCAGAGGGTGGTTGAGCACTGGAACAGGCTCCCTATGGAAGTGGTCACAGGACCAAGCCTAAGAGAGTTCAAGAAGCATTTGGACAACCTCTCAGGCACATGGTGGAATTCTTGAGGTGTCCTGTGCAGGCCAGGAGTTGGACTGGATAACACTGATGGGTTCCTTCCGACTCAGCATCTTCTGTGCTTCTATAAAATCAGATCAATAATACATGTAATCTGAATAAGCAAAGGTGAGAAAAGAAGATTACAGAAAATAAATTAATTCTGGAAAAAGCAGGAAAGTTAGGAAACAAAACAATTTGAGAAAATTTACAGTTTTTTTTCTTTTATCACAATGTATTTTTCTACTCTTAAAAACAGACCTTTTGTCTCACTTAGTTCAGGAGGCTCAAGTATGATCTGTAACACAGCAAATATGCTGCATGGGTCTGTTTAAGCCACTGTAGTGGTACGTGCAAAATTTGCAGAGGTTAAGCCCTCTCCTTCCACCTTGCTAACAACCATCACATGAAAACCTGTGTGCTGCTTCTGCTCTAGAAGTCAGTGCTGTGAAAATAAAAGAGGGACGTTGTGACCAGTCCTGCTCTGAAATGCATTATCACAGTAACAGTGGTGAGAGGGTGTGTAAGTGAATCACAAGGTGAACAGAGTATTGGGAAGCCCTTTTACAGATCGAAGAGATGTGTTGATACATCATATGCCAAGTTTCAGCCTACTTAATAAGTTTCTGATAAACCAGTTCCTCTGCAAGGTACTGAAAAGATTGTTGGAAGAGAACTGCATTTTTGGGAGGCATGTCATTTCTCATTTGCAGATATTGGTAATAATTCAAAAATGTAACATTTAACTTTTGTTTCTCTGTTGCAGAAATTAGGTGAAAGTGTTCAGCAACTTCTTCTAGCAAAAATTGCGGTCTACTTGATGACCTTCTTAATAGTCACAGTGGCATGGGCAGCTCATGTCAGGTAGGAAGAATATGTCTAACTCCAAAGTTGAAGAAAAACTGATTTTTGAAAGTGCAGGAGATAACCAGGTGTCTGATACATTTCTGTCTTGCTGACATACTTCTGAATTGTCTGTTGTTAAATAATATTGAAAAATCATTGTAAAGAAATGCTACCCTTAGCATTGAATAACTACTCCTGCACCACTGACATAGTGAGACAGAGAAGAACAAGCATGTTTTCGCTTTGCATTTTACTTCATGTTTTAGATGCAATTAAACTTCTAATTACGCTGAAAAGGCGTTACTTTGTAACTTGCATGTTCCACAAGAGAGGAACTGATACAGTACAGCTGCCCAAAAACTTGTCTCTCTGTCCTCAGCAGTGCTTCTCACAAAATCAATTGTAATGTTTCATTTTATCTGTTGTAATGTTCTGCATTTTATAGAACTGTGGGCACCCTTACCTGCCCTGTCTTGGTAGTTAAAAAGGAATTGACATGCAGGCATCATACTGGAACCATGGCAGTTTTCGTTGGAATTTTTAAATTTACAAATGTTACTGTGCAAGTGGATTGACTGCTTTGCAGTCAAGGTGTGCCACCTGTGATTCAATATTTGAAGCTGATACCTCACATCGGTGCTGTTATCACATTGCTTTTCTTTGCTTGCATAAGTAAATGCTGAGGCATAGTCTTTGAATAGTTTAGGGTTTTGTGGAAGGTGACGGATTCTGTTGATTCTAAGTGACAGTTTCATGGATGAGTTCATTTCTTTAACAAGGTGTGGGGAAGTTTGCAAGCAAAGCTTTATTTTGTGTGATAATAACTATGCTGTATCTCAAGATAAATAATTTTAAGCCTTAACATTCTGATAATACTCTGTCATTCAAATGGAAACTGGGTTCTTAATAACTGCTCCATGACTGACCTTGACTGTATCTCACTCTTCAGAGTTTTCTAACAAATTACTTCCATGTTTGAGGTAAATGAGTTTTGGTCACACCTGAAATACTTGTATTAATTCTGGAGCAAAGAAAGTCAGGTTCCCCTATAGTATAAATGCACAGTTTGTATATAGTGTTGTAAAATATATTTTGAGAGTTGGCTTGTTCATGATATCTTGCCTTGCCTTGACAGATTGTTTCAGGTCATAGAGCTTATAGATGATGTCCTGGCTCTTCTGAATCTGGTAAGTCTTGTCAGACACGCTGGATGTTTAACTGGCAAGCACTGGATCACTTTTTCTTAAGTGTGTCTGTGAATATCCGAAAGTTTTTAATTTAAGTAGCATCACTCTGCCAAATTTCCAAGTCAGGAAGATACAAAGGTCTGTAACTCCTCCTTGCCAAGGTGACTCATTGATAAGTAACTTGCTTTTAACTTCCAAATGTTTTACTATAAGCCAAAAGAAGCTCTGCACCAGGTTGGTCTGAAGTTCATCTGAGGAACTGAGTATTTTTCTGTGTTTAAAACTCTGTTCTCTGACACACAGTTAATTTAACTTTGTTAATAAAAGCACTGGTTAAGCTCCATGAGATAACACTACAGGAAATTCTTTTAGAGGACTAGCTTAAGGCCTGTAATTCTTACCTAATGTAGCTTTCAAAGCAGAGCATTTCTTTGTGCTTGAGGTGTTGTTTTTAGTTTGGGGTGTTTTTTTTTTAGTTTTGCTTTTTTGTATATGAAATATTTGCGATCAGAGATTAATGTTCTTGACAAATCAGAAACACCTATTTAGAAGGTATGGTACATTTACCATTGCTACTTTAGAAAGAAGTCTGTTAAAAAACGTAGCAAAACTTTTACCTGTGGTATAGGTAACAAAACTGTAGCGTTTTCTAAAATCTGCCTGTACGGTTTGGATAGCAAACATGAAAGGTGTGTACAAAACTGTCCATTTGTTGTAGTCAAAGCTCAGCAACTTCAGAAACGGGGCTGTTTTTCATGATGCAGCACAAGCATTTGATCTGTTTGTATTTTCTGGACACATCTTCAATGAGGGCATTGCTTGCTTTGTATTTTTACCTAGTGTTTCACTATGTGTTTTTCTGTTTTAGGCCTGTATGATGATCATAACCTTTTTGCCATATACAGTAAGTACTTTTCTAAAATGTGATATATGTTTAAATTACAGTGGTTTTTTTTCTCTATTCGTTTGGAAAAATTTTACCAAAGTATTTAGAAACCCAGGAAAGTGTTACTATAATATTAACCCTGAATACATTGTAATAATAAGACTTGCTTCTTTAAAATTCATGAGGGTATGTTATAACCTTCAATTATTGCATGTTTTAGACTTGGCAGAAAATGGGTATTCTAGAAGAAAGCCACAGTATCATAGAATCATAGAATAGTGTAGGTTGGAAAGGACCATTAAAGGTCACTTAATCCAAGCCCCTGCAATGGTCAGGGGCATCTTCAGCTAAATAAGGTTGCTCAGAGCCCCTTCCAACCTGACCTTGTGTGTTTCCAGGGACTGGGCAACCTGTGCCAGTGTTTCACCACCCTCGTGGTCAAAAATTTCCCATGATTTCTTTTAAAAGAGCAACTGTATTGAAAAAGGTCAAAGTTGTCTGATGAGAATTTTGCCTTTGGTAAGATAAATAAAACTGTATTTCAGACTCCTCTTTAGGTGATAGAACATTTTCCTTTTGTAATCTAGACAGAGTTTATGGTATTGCTTTTGACTTACTCAGCAAGGTCGATTCTGGCAGCTGATGTTCATTTTTCAGATCTGCACAATTTTTGGTCAGATGACCTAAAAAGAATATTTGCAAGTGAACACTATATAACAGAATAAAATAGTTGTTTAAAATGCATCTAGTCTGTTATACGTGTAAGGCAGGCACCTGTTTCTCTGTGGACATATCTGTGTTAAATATTAGTCTGCAAAAAATAAGGCTGTGGTCAATAAAGCAATCTTTATCTGCAAGAGCACATAATTTTTACTTTGCCTTGAAGCTGAAATAATTTTTGGAAAGTTGCCAATGTTACTTTAATACCACGCCCTGCTTTCCCTTCCCCACCAATGAAACTGCAGAAATTGATACAACAGAGAGCCACAGAGAGAGGGCACTTTTTTGAATCTTTTAATTTGTCTGATACCAAAAAGTTTCACAGCTATGAACGTCATGCCCACCAAAACCAGTTAAACTTTATGCTCAGCTACAGGCCAGTCTGTGGTTATTATGGAGACATAGTGTCAGAGTGGTTAAGGTTGAGCAGTATCAACATCAGAGCAAAGCCATCTCTCCAGATGCCTTTGGTTGGGATGCCTGCATGTATTTGTGGCTAGAAATTGCATTTAGTGGAATTATAGTGAAATTCAAATTATTGTTTAGGTTTCTGAGTTTCGGTATTGAATGAAGAGTGCTTTCATTTCTCTGCTGTTATTCTTACATTGTTTCTTAATTACATATTTGATCCAGTTGGTTTTTTTTTTTCAGTTTTCCTTAATGGCCTCCTTTCCAGAGGTACCTTTTGGCATCTTCCTGTTCAGTGTCTGTGCTGTTGTCATTGGCCTTATACAGGTATTGGATCTATCCATTTATATTTTTGCTCTTAAATAGACTTTCTTGGGTAGAACTAAAATGAAGTTTCTTACCTAGGAGTATAAATTGCTAAATGTGTTGTTTGTATAGCATTCTTTTTCAAGGTTGTGCCTGTTGTGATAACACAGTATCTGTATGTAAGATGAAAGTTTGCATTTCCACTGTCTTGTGAAGCTGTTTTACCCAACTACATCAGCTGATCTCCACAGAGTTCCTTTCCTACTCTTTCTAAAAATGCCTGGGGGAAATTGCAATTTACTTTTCCTGCTGAGGTTCTTTCTGAGCCGTGCAGTGGTGGATGAGGGAACACAGGCTTTCAGCCTCAGTCCAGTGGCACTGTTTTTCTCCTGGTGCAGTGCTTTGTCACTTCTGTTCCTTATTACAGAGGTCTTCATTCCTCTTCATGTAAGAAGATGACCCATGGTCGTGACAGGCTCTGCAGAGGAGACTAAAATCTTGATGTACAGTGCACTGTGAAATCTCAGAGTTTCTAAGACCAACCTTCCGTATGGGAGTGAAAAATAAGTCTGATGGTGTTTTGGAATTTGTCGATTTATAACTTCATGTTTTATATTTGAAATGCTGCATGAGTTCAGCACTTCTCTTCTCCTTGCAGGCTGTGATAGTAGCATATGGATTCTATCACCCACACTTACTGAATCAACAGATACAGGAGTCTGAAAATCAGAATTTCTATAAACGTCATATCTTAAAGATTATCCTAAGAGGACCAGTTTTATGCTTTCTAGCAGCCATCTTTTCTTTTTTCTTTATTCCTTTGGTAAGTTCTCCTAGTTAGCCAAAAACCTTGATGCAGCAGTTTATATTAGTTGTCTTTAGGACTGTGTATGAAAATAATGATGTCCATGTTAAATATGCAGACTTTCTCAGTTGCCTTTTTTGTGGTATTGTTGCTGCTATTTTGCACTGAATATGTTCAATTCAGACCTATCAATCTGTAACTTGATCCATGAGTTCATATAGTTTAAATAGATCATTCTGCTACAAAATTAACCTTACTTACTACACCTGATTTTTTCTTTTAAGCAGTTCTTCTAGACTTTAGCTTAGTATCTTACTTATCAGAAGTAGGTGAGGTAATGTGGAAGGTTACATGAAATAAACACCACATTGCACAAACTGAAGACCAAATAATTTTGGCTAAGGCCTGCTTTTTCACAGCCTTTTTTTCACTTCCATCTTTATTTAATGGCAGTGAATTGCTCCTACTTAGTAATAGCTGTTATTATTTTTTCAGAACCCCTACTTGGAATTAAAATCTAGTTTTTGAATGTATCCTGAGCTTCTTTTCCTCTTGTTCTTTAGGAAAAGATGGATTTAACTGAATTTTGAGAAAGATTCCACAGAATTGGCAGTGTTTAAATAATACTCACATTTGGGAGGAATCAGGTTGCAACTGATGAAAGGGGCAGTTATGAGTCCAAAGGTGAAAAGGCATAATTTTATCTGAAAATGTTTTCCTCTTCTCCTTCACCCTGTTCACTAATGGGTCGTTTGGCTTTTTTAATATTTGCAACAGTGAAATTAGTCTCCAAGTTGCTTAGTTGCTTAGACCTGTGCAAAGCCTTTGAACCACGTAGGACCCACCAGTGGGTTTTAGTGACATAAATCGTAGAGTCATAGAATATCTCAACTTAGAAGGGACCCATAAGAATCACGTGGGATAGTTCTTCAACTTCCAAAGCAATCATTCCTACCTTTTTTGTCAGCAGAATTATTTCCCTTCTTTTAGTTTGCTTCGTTGCTGGTACTAAATTAGCTATCAAAAAGCAGTATTTGGTTCTACATGCAATATTCAGGATGTGCACGTTCATTTCAGCTGAGCTTTTTTCAGGTTGTAAAAGTCAGTATTTGGTTTTCTCAATGTGATTATATGTAAGATTGAGAGCAATGGTTTCATATTAAACTTAATTTATATTTTTGTAACTATATATAAACTGTTCATTTTCTTTTCCATAGTCTTATGTACTTCTTGGACTCGTAATCATTTTTCCACATCTCACTCGATTCATTAAATGGTGTAAAACCAAAATTGTTGGTGAGTAATTAACAAAATTCAAAGGAGTATGTTCAGATTAGGTTGTCAACATGTTATCCAAACAGCCTGTAATGAAGTTACTTTAGTTCTGCTTCCATTTTCAGTCTTAGAATGTAGTCATTTTGGGGCTTATTGATGTGCTTCCAAAGAATTTCTCCCCTGCTCCCTGGTTTTCCTTATTTGTGAAGAGATTTGTGTAAGACACAACACATATAAAGATCCTCTCTGAGTGAAAAACCTCTCTGATTTGTCCTGAGTATGCACATGCATGCAGAGACAAGTACATGAATGATGGCTGCAGGCCGTCTATCCCTTTCTCCTCCTGAAAAAGGAGCATGGGGACGGAAGAATATACGAAGCAAGCACTGTGCTGTTATCACTTTCTTCCCTGCAATGCTGAATAATCACACATATTCAAACTGGCAAGAGCTGCACTTGTAAATCAAACTTTTTCAGGGTAATTAACTGTTCAGGGTGTTAGATCTCATTAAGTGCTATGGTCTAGAGGGGTGCCTTCCCACATGGCTTGAGTCAGCCTAAATCCATGCTTCCTTCCCTCATACTCCTTGCTTATGTTCTTTCTGCCCTCCTTGTGTCAAGACTAACAATTGCACAGCCATGCCAATAGCCTGAGCTCCTCTTAAACCCTGCTGAGAAGGAGGTTGCCAGTGCCAACATAAAGGAGAATGTGGTGTCATGCAACCTCTCAGCTGAGAGGTGCACTGAGAGAGCAGTATAAACTGGCCACAGAAACACTGAGCAGATCATGTCTTTGGAATTGACACTCACATGGTAGGGCAGAACAGTAACACCTTTGTGCTTCTACTGCTGTTCTTCAGCCTAGTACAAGTCCATCTGTTTACAGTGCAAATGGCAGCGTTCTTCTGACTCCCCCATGTGGCACCAATAATAGGGAGGCAGAAATGCTGTGAAAGGATGAAGCCAGACTGTCAGAGCCCGGAATAAACACATACAAATATTGTCTGTGCTTACTGCAATGGGGACACTAGTTTGCAGTCAGGTCATGTCTGTACGTCTCACCCTGTCAGATGGCTGACATAAATTACTGCTTTACTGAATTTCTTGTGATTACACTTGCTTTGTATTCAGTTCCTCTTCCTGCTTCCTCTGGAAGCTTAAGCTTTTTCTTTGTCCAACCTGTAGTCCTGCAGCAGTGCATTTTGGCTAGCTAGGCAGTTCAGAGTCCAGTCTTTAGAGATGGGTATAAAGACCCATCCAGTCTTTAGATGGGTTTGACTTTTCCTATAAAAGCTCCACCTTTTGACCACAGACTTGATTTATTTTAAATTTGATATCCCAGTTTAGCCACCATACTCCAGAGAGGGTTTTTTTCTACCATAAGTTCTTCACACTGTCATAGAGGACCTACAGCTGTTAGGGCTTCCTGAGGCACAGCATCTGATTTGGTTTGTACAATTACAACTTTGAGTCACTATTCACTTGGAGGAAATTGTTTGCCATACAATTTAAAGAACAGGGCTTTTTTTTGTCCCTCAAGTGCTTGTCTTGAAAGAAACATGAACTTAAGAGAGAGGCACAGATGCCAAAAAAAAAAAAAGTGGAGTGACTGACCTGTGTGGATGACTGGCACCCTTCTTCCTACAGAAAAATTTTGGCAGGTGGGGAGAAAGAGAAAGGGAGGTCACAGTAGGTTGTTGAACTACCTTATTTTATACTTCATTCTTATTTCATTATTAAGCATCTGAATTTTTTTCCAGGTCAGAGGGATGAAGAGGAGGAACACCATAGCCTAGAAACCTTCACTTTTTACCTCAGTGAGCCTCTGAGTAAAGAACGGGTAGAAGCATTCAGTGATGGAGTCTATGCTATTGTAGCAACCCTGCTCATTTTGGATATATGGTAAGGCTTCTTTCATATATTTCGTGTATTTCATTTGTACTGCTTCTTTCACTTCATATTGTTAAATTAACTTTGTTAAATATATTAACTTTATATGTAATATTTGAGGAAATAAAGTCCATCAGACGTTGTCTGTGACTTCTAAAGCCTGCAGTGGTTACTTTAGGTATGATTTTCTGAAAAGATACAAAATGCAAACGAAAAATACTTCTAACGTCCATGTTCTAGCAGTAGTGATCACCAGTTTATGTAATACATGTTGGGATGTTGAGTCTTGAAGAAAAAAGCTTTCTTTTTTGTTCATTTATGTTTTCAGATGAAAGGCTTTTATCAACAAAAGCTGTTTAGTCACTGTGGCAACTTTATTAGCACAAAGAAATGCCAGCTTGCATTCAGATTTCCTTTTAGATCTAATTTCTTTGCAGAGCTGTTATTTGAAACACTTAAGTTAAAAATTATAATGGATGCCTGTTGTTCCCTACTTGCTCAGAGTAAAGCAACGCAGTTCAGTGTTGCTATAGGTGTGGTTTTATAACAGTAATATGTAAAGTAAATTTTCTCTCCACAGCGAAGACAATGTCCCTGATCCCAGAGAAGTTGAGGAGAAGTTCCATGGCAGTCTTCTTGAAGCTTTAAGTGAATATGGGCCAAACTACCTTGCTTACTTTGGCTCATTTGTTACAATCGGTCTCCTGTGGTTTGTCCATCACTCACTTTTCCTTTACGTAACAAAAGCTACCCGATTAATGGGACTGCTTAACATACTTTCATTGGCTTTCATTGGTGGGCTTCCACTAGCTTACCAGCTGACCAGTGAATTTGCAGAGAAGTCCCATAATGAAATAGAAGCCATTCAGGTCAGCTGTGTTATCACCTTCTTTGCCAGCATATTTCAGTTTGCAATATGGACTACAGCCCTCCTCAATGAAAGGGAAACTTTGCATCCATTTGCTAGATATGGTGGCAAGGAGCATGCCTTTATGTTTGCCAAGCTGGCTCTCTATCCTTGTGTAAGCCTTGGGACCTTCTTTCTAACGTGCTTGTTAAGTGAATTTTCCACAGCAATTTTCCATCTTATGCAGATTGTAATCCCATTTGCTTTTCTTGCCTTGCGCATTTTTGTTAGAATTTCTTTAACTGTTGTAAAGACCATGATGTCTCTCTCTAGACGGAAGGTTGTACTGTTAGAAGAAGAAGAGGCATGTTTGTCTCCTACTGAAACACTGTCCTAAATTTCCACACAGTGCATGTGAAGTTACGAGATTAACTTTAGTTCTTCTAACTCACATTATCTTCATGTGTGGATTATATTGACCTAAACCAAAGCCTGCGTTGACCATAACTAGGACATATTTAAGTTTTAGCTGGGTCTCATGCCTGAGACCCTTTTTCCAAAATCTGCTATTGAAAATGTTGGGCAAATAGGGGATACAAAGAAAAGCATGTTCTGTTTCCTTTAGAGTTACTCTACAGGAAAAAATGCTGCTTGACATGTAACTGCAGTGATGCTCGATTAAGAAGTGCACAAACAGGTGCCCAGCAAAATGGTAACCAAACACCAGAACAGAAGCTGGTTGTGCTACTGTAAGATAAGAAGTGAGGTATGAACGACAATGGAGACCTCTGGATTTCTGGAAGGTGCATCATGGTGGAACATTTGTGCATACAGGTTGCTGGTCTTCTCTTCCCCCCCTTCCCCAGATGTGTCTGTTCTGCATAGTCATAAACTGGGGATAGCATTTGGAAACCTACCTGCTGCGTTTGAGTGGCTCTGTGTGTGAGTTTAGATGGGGGTTGCAATTGTGATAGCAGTCTTCCAGGCTACCTGAACACAAGTTCTTTGGGCATGTTTGTTCTTTTTAAAAAAGGATATATGTAACAAATGAGGATTCATGTGGCTTTGCCACAATCCAAGGTTTCAACTAACTTTGATAACCTCCCAGGGAAAAGGGCTGTGGGACTAGAGGTAAATTTGTTTTATGTCCTGCAGCAGCAGCTCATCTGAAAAGTTTGCATTTCTCAGGCTTTTTGTGTCTGTTTTCCTGTCTGTTGAATGGAACATCCTTCTGTTATTCTGAAGGCATGATGTCATATTCAAAGAGAGTATCAGACTGCCACATATGAGAGTACCCCCTCAGGTAAGGGAGTTGAGTTTTTTCCTGAGTAGTGGCTTATTAAGTCGTCTGAGTCTCAGGAAGACAGCAGAAGAAACTAACCCTGTAGAAGTTCCAGTCTAGGGTTTGGTGGATTTTTTTTTTTACCCTTTTATGTGGTTTGATAAGCTTTACGCTTATCAAGTCATCTAGCCTCTGGCTGCCCTGGAAGCCTTTACATTTCTTTTTGGCAGAGCCATTAGTTTGTATCTTGAACTGTCTTAGTGCCTGACAACTTTAATGCCATATTTAAAGGCATTTGGGGAATTTTGTTGTTCATCTTAAAAAAAGAAATACTGTGGCAAAGTATGCCTGAAGAAATTAGAGGTGAAAACAAATTCAGTTATCTTGTTTTAGTTGAGATCAGTCTTGAAAGCACTTGTGCTTTTGGTTTGAAGCACCTTGATACCTATATGTAATTGTAAATATTACATCCTTCGTGTGAAGAGAGTATGTTCAGCTACTCAAGGGGATTTATACCTAGTTGAGGTTAAACAACTTCCATAGTGTTGTGTGTAGCAGGATTTTTCTGATACTTAATAAAAGCACTTTTGTTTCTGTATGGTTTTGTTTCTAATGTGCAGCAGTCACATAATAGGTAGTGAATATGTGTATTTGTAATAAATTTCAATCAGTGAAAAAACAAAGCTTGTAGCTCTTTATTTCTGCTCTGCAGGTGAAACTTAGATCCAATGTTTACAGTTATGTTAGATGGTGGTGTGGGTTTTCCTTCAAAACCATCAAAAACTTCAGTTTTGTGATTTTGTATAAAACACACAAATGCTTTTAATGTGATGTGAAGAAATGTTGATTCTATTTCTGTTGGTACTTGAAGAAAATGAGACTGCAAATTGAATCTGACCGAGAAGTTTCACTGCAGTGTTTACAAGGCTGAAGTGAAGTGAATTGTAATGTATAAATACTACAAGGAACTGTATTGGCTAATGCATTCCTTCTTTTTATCCCACTTCCAAATAAGTAATTTGTTCTGCAAAAAGAAAAATTTTATTTTTTCTTATAGTCAAGACACTATTATTCAAACTAAATTTGGTAGTATCTAAAAACATAAACCTGAGGGCAAACTTGATGTGAGACTTCATATAAACAGCTGATTTAGGATCATTGTGATAGTTTTGGTATGTTCTCGAGAAACAAACTGCACTAATTTGAACTGTGTCATTCTCAAGTAGAACATTCCCAAATCTAACTGTAACTAGCTGTTCTTTACAGATTTACTAAACATCACAGGCTTTTGTCTCTAGGAGAATTAAAGCGAAACACAACGATTATTACAATCCCAGAACCATAGAACGGATGACACTGGAAGGGACCTCTTGAGACCATCTAGTCCAACCCTCCAGTTTAAAGTAGGGGCAGCTAGACCTGGTTGCCAAGGTCTGTGTCCAGTCATACTGCGCATCTGCACAGAGACACACCAACCACTCAACAGCTTATAGGGTCCAGACATCTGGACTGTAACCCCTAAACCACTAAACCCCATCACCCAGTGCCAGATCCAGACTCCTCTTTGAACACCGGGGATGGTGACTCCACTGCCTCCCTGGGCAGCCCATCCCAGTGCCTCATCACCCTAACAGTGAAATTTTTTTTTTCTACTATCTGTTTTCAAACGGGTCAACCCGCTTGAATGTCCAGTTGCCCTCGGGACTAAAAAAAAGTTTGTTGTTGTTTTTTTTTTTTCTTCCACTTAAAAAGGAATTTCTTACATCTCAGTCTGTTGCCCATTTATCAGCCACTGAAAAACATCGATGAGATTCCCCCCGATCGTCTCTCGCAGGCTGCGTAGTCCCAGCTCGCTCAGCCTTTCCTTGTAGGAGAGATGCTCCACTCCCTGCGCCTTGAGAATTCTTTGACTGCCCCAATTGCAAACCCTGGAGCGAACAGCAACCCCAATTCCCGGCTGCCCGCTCACGGCTTCTCTCCTCCCCTTCCGCCCGCCGCCGTCAATTCCGGCCGCCGCCGCCGCCAGGATGGTGCCGCCGGTGCAGGTCTCGCCGCTCATCAAGGTGAGGGCGGCGGGCGGTGTGTCCGGCGGGTCCCGGCGGGTCCTGGCGGGTCCTGGCGGGTCCCGGGTGTGCCGGGGCCGCGGGACGGACCGGCCGGGCCGGGCCGGGGGGGCTCGGCGGGCCGGGGCGGGGGGCGACGGCGGGGCCGGCGGTGCGTGTGGGCTGAGCGAAGGGCGCGTCCTTGTCTCTCGTCCCGCAGTTCACCCGCTACTCGGCGCTGCTCGTGGGGATGATCTACGGCAAGAAGCGATACGGTGAGTGCGGCGTCCCGGGGGCCGCTCCCCGCGCCGGGCCCCGCAAGGGCACCTTGAGGCGGCCCGGCCGCCATTTCCCCCCGCCCCTGCCGCGGCCCTGCCGGGGCGGCCCTGCCGGGGTGAGGCCACATATCCCTACGGGTTTGTGCCTTTGGGCCGGCAAAAAGCTGGCTTATCCTCCTTTCTGAGCGAGCCTGCGGGCGCGCAGCTTTCCGCCGTGAGTTCGGGAAGGCGTGTTTTAAAGCGAGTGTGTTGATGGCAGACTACCTGAAGCCGATTGCTGAAGAAGAGAGAAGAATAGAGGCGGAGGAGAAAAAGAAACGTGAGGAGCTGGAGCGGATTGCAAAAGAGATCGCAGAAGGTAGTTCCTCCGTTTAGTTTGTGTATCCCACGCTTGGCTGCTGGACTGCTGTTTTACAGCAGTGCTTTTAGGAGAAGTTGAGGCTTACAGCTAATCCGTGGAGCCAGTGCTTAGGGTGATGTGAGGAGTAAATAAATAGTGCTGCTGTTCAGTGATGCTTGCATTTGGAAGAGGTCATCAGGGGAAGCGTTAAAAATGCTTTTGAAACGAGTCAGGACTTGTTAAATGGCTATCTGAATTTCCAGTGAGAAAACAAAATGCTAAAAACTGCTGCTTGTCCTGTGAGGAATGACTGGATCTGTTTAATGACTGTAGTGGGATGCCCCTTATTCAGCTGTATGCAACAAATTTACAGTCCCTCTTCTCCATGCAGTGCAGGGACCTCATAAGTATGAATGATCATCTAAACTAGAAGCTGTAGGCAGCTGCATGTAATTGCAATTCCAGAATTTTAAGCGGTATCACAGGTGTAGTGTTAGAGGTCAGCTTCATTTGTTGTATCTCTCATGTGAAGAGATACATGCTGGAGGGGATCTGTTCATATTAGTACTGCTGCTATTTTCTCATTCCCTTCCACCCTGTAATATTCCTGCTGCGGTGTTGTTGCCCTGGTCCTTAGGATTATTTCTTGGGTCCCCTGTGTGTTTCTAACAGAGGATTCCTTCCCTGCTGCCTTACAGAGGAGTGTGCTCTCTAGCTTGGTTTCAGCAAGGGTTTTTTTTGGGTGGACTTAGACTTAAGAAGAGTCAGAAAACTGACTAATAGCTGAGGCTGTTCTTGGTGCAGCTACACGCTCTGTAACTTGTTCCATGGAAACTAGGGACATTTCCATTGTCCTAAACAAAACTAGCACTGAACAAAACACTGTAAAGTTAAATGAACTACACATACAGAAAATCAAATATGCAGTTGGGTGATCTGTATCACCTACTAGAGATGAAGCCATTTTGCATGGCTGTTTTGCCATCTTAAATACATAGTCTCCATTGGTCATGGACTAAATAAATAAGCATTTTAGATGTTCTCTAGCTAGGTGAAACTTTTGTAGTTTTGGAGGTAGAGGCTATGCTGTGGTGTTGCCAGCCTACTTAAAAATGAAGTTCTCTGATTATTTCTTTAGAATGTTTAATCTCTTTAAAAATGGCATAAAGATGACAGGTCTTTGTTCCCAGCAATGGTTTTGGTGTGTTTTTTTCAGAAAAGCAATTGTTAAACTTTCATTGAATGCAATGTAGTTGCTGGAGATTTTTCCTTACAGTTGGATGACTGGACATATCTGTAATGATAGCTTTTTCTGGGCTTATTTGACTCATCAATTCAGAAAATGGTCTTTTACCAGTGAGTATTTAAAAGTGCCTTTACTCCAAAGTATGAATTGCACTGCTGTTGAACAGACAGAAGTGGGAATCATAAAAACTGACTAGAAAGAAACTACATGAAAGTAGCCTTAGATTCTGCTGATGTTTTGTGTATTTTAGTACTGCATGGGAGTGGCTAGTAGTCCTAACCATGTTTATTTTTTCTTCCCTTCTAGCAAGTGAAGATTCCATATTGAAATGAACAAAAGATGTGATTTGAATTTCGCACGTGGCTAGGCTGTGAACTGTCCAATGGTTTCTGAACTCTGCATGATATTCTGTCAATAAAGTACTTACTACACTTCAGTTGGTATTTTTGAGTGAATTGCCCAGAACAGCAGCAGAAATACTTACAGAATGTGACAGGAAGCATCTGTCCCAACCAGGCCATTGTTGCAGCTGAACCCCCCCCCTATTACCCCAGCAATAGCCAGTCACTACACCCATTACTCATAGCTAATGTTTTTGATCAGAAAGTACATACAATTTAATACACATGGGCAGGTGGAAGGAGAGGGGAGTGGTGAGGCACTGACTGCCTGAAACTGTTACTTGAATGGCTTGACTGGGGAGTTTTATAGAAATCATAGAATGTTAAGGGGTTGGGATGGATCTTAAAGATGATCTAGTCCCAACTCCTCCTGCCATGGGCAGGGACATCTCCCACTGGACCAGGTTGCTCAAGGCCTTGTCCAGCCTGGCCTTGAACACTGATAGGGTTGGGGAATCCACAGCCTCCTTGGGTTCCAGTATCTCACCAGCCTCAAAGATGTAGAAACATTAGTTAAGGAATTGTTGACCTGAAAGGACAGTGGTCCCAATCTTCTGGCTAATGATTAGATGGTACCATTTTGGGAAAAAGACAAAAATTACTTTTGTCACCTGCCCTCTGTAGTATCAATTAGAAAGTCAGTGTTCTCTTCAGACACTCAGCCTGCATTAGGCAGTGAGAGTGATAGCCACAGCAAGGGGCAGAAGGGCAGAGCAGGCTGTCCAGAGCTCAGGGCTGTACATCCTGTGGCTGAACATGACCTATGTGTCAGAACAGAAGACAGTGGGAGCAACTGATGAAGCATCTCATCAACATGTCTGAGGAGCAAAGACTTTCCCACCACCAGCCGCTCCTTTCTGGAGCACTGTGTTTTGCCATCAATGCTTTTCTGTAGATGAGCCAGCCTGGGAATCAAGGCATCAGGGACTGTCCCAGGATACCACAGATGCTGCCCTGCACTTAACTCTTGGATAATCTAAGACTGTAGCTGACTGTTGTCTCACTGGTCCTGTCACCACATCCTGCCCCTTCTCTCAGCTCCAGTGCTATAGACGTGCTGCTTCCTATGGATCTGCAAGGACTATTTCTGCCTCCTGTCACAGGTCCTTTCTCTTGAAGGGGAAGTAACCCATGGCTGTCCAGCAGGGATGCAACTTCTGTGCTGGAGACAGGCAAGAACTCTGCAGCCCTCAAGAGTAAGCTGCAGGGAAAAAAATTTCCCTACAGATTGTACCCTGTCAGAAACTGATACGGTGGGAAAAAAAGGAGAATGAAATGTCTTGCCTTACTGTTTCCTTTATTGCCCTCTAATTGCTGCGTGTGGCTTCCCACAGCAACATGAGAGGCAGTCAGCTACTGAGCAGCAAGGGCATGGGACCACTGACCTACAAAAATTGTCCAACAAAATGGCCATGGACAGCAGAGCTCTGTGCTCTGCCTGGGGTGCTGAAGGTCCACAGGCAGGTAGAAGAGCAGGAGGAAGGGGACAGAGGAGCTTGTTGTGGAGACAGCAGGGAGCTTGTGCTGTCTGCACCAATGCAGCTTCCTGCTGCGAGATCTCCACTGTTCTGTGATTCTAGGGCTGCCCTTTTTGGAAAGGAGCATCAGAGACCCTACTGCTCCCATGGAAATGGTCCACCCTTCGGAAACAGCCTCCTCCACTGGCACCGCACCCTGCGTGTCCATGGACACCCCTCTGCAAGTGTGCATGATCCCCTTTGGAAATACACAGCAGCATGCCCACCCCAATGCTGTGTGGGACAAGTTGTGCGCTCATGTGGCTGTGGGCACATGAGGCACTGCCACCCACAGCACTGCTGGGTATGCTGGGCAGGCAGCCCTTGCTGCTTGTGTGAGAAGCCCTGCTGGGGTAGCCTACAGTGCTCTGGGCACTTCACACTGGGCACAGAGGGCAGGGATATTAGTCTCCAGGTTTCATTACCCAGAAAACATCTGAGAACATAAGGAGCTTTTCTCAGCATTTAAGTGTACAGTGTCTTGTCATCCTCAAAATCTCACTGCTTCCCACTCTCTGACACGATAACCTTCTGGCATTTTCCCACCAAAAGAAAAAGAATTTGTTTGACTTCATCTGCTGTATGATAAAAGCTTCCTACATGGTTCTCTGCTCTTGTGAGACCCCACTTGAAGTACTGTGTCTAGATCTGATCCCCTCAACATAAGAAGGATATGGAACTGTTGGAGCAAGTCCAAAGGAAGACCACGAAGTTGGTAAGAGGACTGGAGCATCTCCCCTACGAAGACAGGCTGAGAAAGTTGGGGCTGTTCAGCCTGGAAAAGAGAAGGTTGTGTGGAGACTCATGGCAACCTTCTGGTATCTGAAGGGGCCTACAGGGAAGCCAGAGAGACTCTTCATCGGGAACTGTGTGATAGGACAAGGGGTAAGGGGTACAAACTGAAAGACAGGAAATTTAGGTTACATATCAGGAAGAAATTCTTTCCTGTGAGGGTGGTGAGACACTGGAACAGGTTGCCCATGGAGGCTGTGGATGCCCCCCAACCCTGGGGGTGTTCAAGGCCAGGCTGGATAAGGCCTTGAGCAACCTGGTGTAGTGGGAGGTGTCCCTGCTCATGGCAGAGAGGGTTGGGATTAGATAATTTTGAAAGTCCATTCCAACACCTAACATTCTACAATTCTATGATTCTTAATGAAACTGAGACAAACAGCATGAAGTCATTACTAATGGCATATTTAGCTCTCATGCAAGTGGACTTTCTGTATTTTCCTGAAAGACAAATTGCCTCTCATGGAATTGCTGTGTAGTGATAGAGGATTACATCTTGCTTACTACAGTGAGACACAGATAAATGATGACCATGTACCACCATAGCTCTAGTTTTCCTTTTACTTGCAGTATTTTTGTAATGCAAAACAAGATACTGAAGGGTAAAGCCCTGAAAGATAGCAAGAGCAATAGAAGAAGAAGAAAATCCCCAGCAAAATAGATATCCAAACAGTTTTAAAAAAGAGAGAGAGAGAGAGAACGAGAAAGGAGCAGAGAAGGTGTGTCTACTACTACAACAGTGTAATTAAATGCTCTAATATGTTTACATGAATAAACATGAAAACTAACTTTTATCTAAAATAAAAGGGTACAGGTCATCAGTCACAAGTCTGTAGGGGAATCTAGAAAACAGACACCTCAGAACAGGAGGAGGAAAAGAAGGAGGGGTTGGTTCTGATCAAGTGTATTAAATAACTGGCACTATGAGGCAAAACAGAACAAGTTTAGGAGATGCCACAATTCAGGTTGCTTGGTTAACCGTAAGTGGAACTGTAATGGGTAATGATAACCCTGTCTTCTTAAAATCATGTGTGAAAGAACAACACCTCAATTAGCATACTGTGGAACCTGCTCCTGAAGAAAGCAGCTACTGGGTGTTATGGCTTCATGCTTTGTGATAGCAACGCATCCCAGTTCTTGAAGTGAGTGCAGAACTTTTATCTGTCCAAGTGTTTCTTGGATTTACATGGAATCAAAGTATTTTAGAGCAGTTCAGAGGTTTACTATGATCAGTTTTCATGCTTTATCCTTAGCCTCAGATTTCTTTCTGATATCGTGATACCCAGATATAGGATATATTCTGCTATCCAGATATAGGCTTAGATATGACAAATTTGGCTCTTCTTCTGTTTTCCTACTCTGCAGGCTATGGTTGTATACACTGTCAATCATATGGGGTTGTATGGAGTAGGACTATCCCGATCAGTTTTGCTGTAAGAAGTGTTTCAGTGCAGGAGAAATGCTCTTCCATAGTCCTGCAACCTGATTTATTGGGCCCAATGTTGTTCTGATTTCCCATGTGCCATCTGACATAAGGTGCATTACATGGAGCAAGAGACAGGATAGAACTGGCTCCTTACCATCAGGAAGAGATGCAATTAAGGCAAACAAGATCTAGCCCTTCCCTGGTTGATCATAAGCCTAATAAAGTATCAGAACAGTCCAATCAGGAATGTATTTTTATGTCTTTTTTTTTTTTTTAAGCGTGGGCATTCTCATTTTAGGTGGCATATATTGCATTGATAATATGTCTAAAGTATGCTACAGGTTTTGGAAGCTGGAGCTGTTCCTCCGTTGCAGGTTATTCCGTCTGCCATGTAAAAAGAAACACAGAATTAGAGACACAGTCACAAAATTTCTTCTTAGTTTTTTAAGGACTTTTATGTTTTCCAGTGACCAGTGTAGATCATAACTATAGTACCCTGTCTAGAGCTGCCTGCTGTGCAAAGTAATTGTATATGTAAGGCTGCTTGGAAAGAGTATTTTAGAGTTAGTAGAAATCTTCCTCTCTTGAATATCAATTACTTGTTCATAAAGTAATTCTTCAGAAATTTTCCAAATAATAGTTAAAGCACTTTAGATATTTTAATTTAACTTGTATGAATTAAACTGAGATAAGACACCTAGACAGCTCTAATAATTTCTGAACTGTGTCACTTGAGGGCTGCTGGAATTTTGTTGGAAAAAAAGGAGAGTTCAGATACAGCCTCTGTGGAGTGGAGGCATCAAGTTCTGGCAGATATTTGATCAGACATTTGGGAGAGGCCAGGACAACCTTCTGCTTCCACATTTCTGAGAGTCAAACAGGTGCTCAGGCTGCCAAACAAGCTTTCACCCAATGCCCACTACAGCCAATGGATTTCAGTACTACACAGGCTGGGCCCACAGAAAAAGAAAAACAGGTCTGACCAAAACAGATTGCTGCTAGGTTCTACCACTACTGCTGGCTTCTTGGTAGTACTTAATCTGGACTAGAAATGGGATGAACCATTGTTCCTCAAGTGTTCCCCCTAGGACTCTCTTGACTTTTCTTAGCTTCTGCTTTATGACCTGTAGGACAGCACACAGGCCACAGTCCCTGAGTATAAAGGGATGTTTCCCTGCTGTTTTCCAGGGACAGCAAACAACTTTTGGCTATCCTTAGCTACATGGGAACTTGTGCTGAATGGATTATCACTAGTTTCTCAGAAACAAGTTCTTGGGAATTTAAGTGGGTGGCCTTTTTGACAGCCAGTCATGGTGCCTTCAGCCTTGCCAGTGGAGCCAAATTTAAGAAACTTTTTGTGGACATCTTACTCTGCCATTTTAGCAAAGCTTGCTGTGGATCTGTGAGTATTGCATATGTATGTTTCTGAGTTCAGAATGTAAAGCTAATTACTGTTTCTGACCTTTCTTTGCAGCCATTCTCTCTTCCTCTTTTTTCTTCTCTTCCTCCAGAGCTTTCATTTTTGCATCATACTCATCAGCACGGGTCTTCCACTCATTTCGATTGTTCAGGAGCCCATCAAGCATAGGCTGAATTTCCTCATGGAAACGTGAAAATTCCTAACCAAAACACACCTGTCAGCACAATGCAGTGCAGGGGCAGTGCTTGTCCATCATACCCCAGGGCAGACCCTGACACCTCACCTCCAAAGCTGGCTTATGCAGAGAAAGCATTAATGGCACAAACAAGCATCGTGCTGCAGCGCCTTGCAGAGGGGCAGATGTTGCCTCCTCTACTTGTCCCTCCCCCCTTGAGTGGTGTTGCTGCACTGGGACTCACTCACCTGGTATTTGAGCCCCTGTTGAGAAGGATGGGGTATGCAAGGGTACCCTTTGCTTACCTTATAGACAAACGTACACACAAAGTCAATGAAACCCACTTGAAGCTTTGGAAGCTCAGCAGCTTTCCTTCGGTCCATCATGGGCTGTGGGAGGACACAAGTTGACCATGATTTATGAGAGCACTTAATTGAAAAACACACTTCTGTTTTCTCCCCAAAATTGCCTTGTTGTGTCAGCCTAGCAGTTGTGTCATGCCATACACAGAGGCTGTCCATGACAGCCCTCTTTCTCCACTGCAGAGGAGTGAAGTGGTCTGACTTCCTTTGCCATTTTAGTAGAAATTTTAGACAGCTATTTGAGTGTCTGTGGATGGGGAGGAGGACAGAGAATCTTTCCCCATGTACGTCTCAGATACCTGAGGGAAGGTTCATTACAGGGCTGAAGAGGTTTTGAATTCTATAAAACATAACTGAGCACAAAATTATATTCTTATAAGACCTTGCCAATTAATATATTATTTGTAATGCCACTGTGGATAGATGGGGTGTATGAAAGTCTTCTTAAATAAAACCCAAGCCACACAGGTGGAGGCTGCATCAAGGAGTAGTTCCTGTCCCTTTCAATGCCAAATTTAACTATGTGTTAAAAAAAAATGTTAGAAACACCCTTCCATTTACCAGAAAGTTTCTTGACTCTACAGAGTTTGTGTTTGCAGTTTTTCTCTTTATCAGAAACTATGCTTTCTTCTGTGACTTATCTATTTAATTTACATTTTTTCTGTAGGAGACCAGCACAAAGTCTCCAGGGGGACTCCACTCCTTGATGGTTCACAGCCACTGAAGCCATCTAACTATATGGAGAGCTGGACAAGAATCACTGGACGTTGTCAGAGATTCTTCACTGAGTACACACTTTTCCAATGGATTTTGGCAGGCATGGTGATTTTAGGCAGAGTCACAGCACTGTGACAGCAGCACTTCTTGTAGTAAGTCTCTGCTGAGACTTGCTGTCTGAACTGAGCTGCCTGGCTCTCGGATGGTACTTACAATAGGCTGTTGCTGAAGGACGCTTATTTCTAAGTCTCCTTGCTCCCAGAACTCAGCTGCTACCAGTAGAGCTACCTACATTGACAAGGAGGGAAAAAGAAAAGTTAGTACCAACTTCAGCCTCATAACTTGATGCGCTTCAGGTCTCCACCATGAAGAAAATCTGACTTCTAACCCTTCTGTGTAGTGACAGCTCAACAGTCTTGTTGCACTTGATCTCATTAGTCCACTGTTCACCTATTAAGAAACATTTCCAACACTACTACAATCTGAAAGAATGGTTAATCCATCAAGACTATAGCTATTCCTTTTGATAATTCTGGTAGGAGACTGATTGACCTTCCAGGCAGCTTAGGAAATTGCATTACTTTGAAGTATAAACTACAGAAATCTAATGATATATCAAGCACCTGACCTTACTCTGAACTTCCCAAGGCTTTGTGATTGCTGACAAGTCACAGGCAGTCATCATCATTGCCCTAAAAACAGGAAAGAAATAAATTTATTGTCTATAGCCTGCACCTTACTTCTTGCAGGCTCAGGAACTTCATGTCCCAATACTGTGTCAGGTATCCCCTTGTTCCTGCTGAAGTGATAAAGAAAGACATGCTGCTTTAACAGCCTTGATTCTGACTGGGACATTCATCAAGAATTGCTCTCTTGGTTAAAATGGAATTGAGATGGGAAACATTGTTTCTGACATTAGTATGTTTGCTGCTTTAGTCAGTGCTGGGCTGAACTTCTTGGCTTTGGAGTAGAATCTCTGTCTCCCTCGTGGATGTGTAGCAGTGCAGTCTGCAGTGAGATTGTGAGTGCACTTCACTGCCAGTGCAGAGCATCCTGCAAACCATCTGTCAAGTCACAACAACAGCCCTGTGACTCAGACTGGTTGCCACTGGGAAGAACAGCTAGTGGATTGGATGTCCCTGCTTCTGGTCTACAGGCCACAGGGTGGCCTGGTAGGAATATACAGCCAGAAGGGATCCTCTATTTCCCTACAAGTATGTGCCCAGATTTATTTGGAGGAAGAACTACTTTTTTTTTTTCCCCTTTTTAAACCCTGCTTCTCCAGAAGGTCAAAATTAAGCATGCAGTAATATATCATGTGCTGATTTTGCACCAAATGCAGCACAAAGGGTATACTGGAGCTCTCACCAGGTGTACACATCACTAACCTTTCCAGAGCTGATTACTCACATGACAACCTCTTTCTTTGTTGTCTCCAGAGACAGGTATTCAGTCCAGGCAGTCTCACTATCATATGTCTTAGACTCGTCAACGATCTTTTGAAACATTGTTCTCTTTCTTTGAGGGGAAAAAAAAAGTTTTACAAAAAAAAAAAAGGGGGGGGACAAAAGGAAAAATCTGTGAAACAAGGAAACAAACATGTTAAAAACAGATAGCTGTTCCTGGTATTGCTAACCCTTCCAGAAGGATTTCCAGTAGTTGCTCTCCTGGCACTTGGAGCATGTATGAAGTAGTTTTGTGATGCGGCCTGTCTTCTCTGCTAGCATTGAAACATCAGGTTTCTCCAGATTTTATGCCACTCAAAACATGGATGTATCGTGTATAAACCATTCCTCAGAATTCCCTACATATGTTTAGGTATATAAATAAGGTTAACAGTGATTGACTAAGTATACAAAGACAAGTAGCTTTAAAAATACTCCAGCTCTAGGTTTCTGCAGTTTGCTTAACATTCAAGGAAAAAGCCTCTTTATTTTGCCAGCAAAGGTGAAAGTATTTCTCAGCTGACATAACTTGCAGTTGTACATACTTTCAAGGTCCTGCTCATGTCTCACAACTACACTTATTTTTAAGGCATTTACAATAGTTTCCACTACTTAAGAGAAGCAGATGGTGGTGCTTGAGTTTGTTGGGGCTTCCTTGAGGACCTATCTACATCAATATTCCTGGGTCTTAACTAAGACTTTGCTTGCAGTTCATGGACCAAGAAGGTCAAGGACCAGTTTGTTCCCAGCTGGTGAGGAAGTGGTGGTATATGCTCCCACACAGACATTGTATCTTCAGAGTAAGACTTTGGGGTATTGTAATCTCCCTGAAATTCCTCTTCTGTGGACTGTTTATATTTTGCATAATTGTACTGCAGTACAAAACACAATAATCTGGTCTTGACACAGTACTCTGAAAGCACATTTTGAGAGCTCCTTGTTAATTAGGAAGTCATATGTCATTGAATTTCAGCCTTATGTCCCAGAAAGTTAGCACACACTGCTCCAAGATGTTTGGCAATTTTGGCTTTTGGGTGTGAAATAGACTGTGAGCTGGATATTCACTTAGAATAGACCGCTTATTATCTGTGTCATGCTGCTCTCCCAGAGAAGTTAGTGCAGCCCTTGCCAGACCATTTGCCATTTATGGGTATTTTCAGTGTTGGAGTGCTAGGTTAAAAAAAACCCAAACCCTGACATCTCTTTCCATTAGGGGATCATATAACCCTGCCTTGTTGGAAATAGAGGGTTAAAAAGTCACATACGCGGTTTGACAGAAGTTCAGAATTCTTTTGAATGATTTGAGTTCTCCCACCAGCTCTGCAGTCAATATTAAAGGCAGCCTCCCAGAGCCAGTGTCTGTGAAGAAACTGCTGCACGGATGGGAGGCTTTCAGAGCAAAGCATCACATTTGGCCTTTGTAAAGTGCCAGCTGCTTTCTGCCCTTCACACACAGTGTACGTGACTGACTTACTTGAAGTAGAGTGCCAGGTCTGTTGCTATAATGGCAATTTCCATCAGGTGAATCACGTGCTCGTGCTGTCTGCGGTTGAGGTTCTGACATATATTCAGTGACTGAAAAGAGAAGGAAAGTGAGTTGCAAAATTCAGGCACTGTGGGTTTTTTTGGGGTTCCTGGCCACCTCCCTTTCCCAAAGGTGTTCATTTTATTTTCTTTTAACAGCTTCAGCTTGCTCCCCTGAGTTGCAAGGGTTGTGAGCCCTGTTCACATGTGGGTGGCTGGTTTCCTCTTTTGTTCACTGAACGGGGTCTGTATCTTGAAACTTGTTATGCAGCGTGCACCCAAACCCCATCCCCTGACCTCAGTGCAAATTTGCCTGAAATTAAAAGTTAGCTGTGGGAATGTGTCAGCCTTAGTCCTGACAGAGGGGCTACAGGAGAACAATCCTTTATTTAACATATTCCTATGTGGACAATGATGTGTCTTCTGAAGGAACCAAGTCATGCACTAAGGAAACCTCTGTGTTTTGGTCCTGGGTGAGGATAGATTACCTGGGGACAGAGGCAGCTGCAATTTCTCAGTATCCAATCCAGAGAAAGGTCTTGTGCTGATAGCTCTGTTGTTAATGAAAAATTTCCCTAAAATTAAATTATTCATGCCCTTATATTACAGTACATTACCAACCTCCTCAGAGAGCAAGAATTTTCCAAATTCCAAGTGATGTCTCTCTAAAATTGAGGATCCATGAAGTTTAGCTAAGGGATTTTGAGATCTGGTTGTGTAAAGGAAAGATTAAAAATGTAAGTGCAGCATTTAAAAATAAAAAGAAGTGTCTCATTTTTTATTTATTTTTTGTCACACACATAAGTTTAACTCCTTTCAAAAGGGTTAAGAGTAGCACTTTTCAGTAAGTAATGACCTCAGTCTAATTAAAGACTTTTGTGATACTGCTTATAACTATTTGGACACTGTATAAGACAGTCTTTCAACTACAAAATTTCCCCTTAAACGTTGTATCTGACTGCATTGTAATTACTCAGCTTAGTAAGCTTGTTTAATTCCTGAGTTAAATACATGTTGATATCTAGTAATAGGAATATAAAACCCTGAAATCCTTGGACACTTTCCTTGCTGAAAAGCAAGGCCCTCTTGTATCAAAAACATGAGCCAGCTTCACTCAGCATTTTTCCAAAGCACCAGAAAACAGTAAGACAGTATTGCCAGCAATCATTGCAAAAGAGCTGTGATCTGACACTACTTTAAGGGAACAACAGGGTCTTGACTAGTCAACGAAATCATGCAATTTTTTCTCTGTAGCTAATAACTACCTACTGAGAGCAGCACTCTCACAGGTGCTTTGTTTCTGTAGGTGGTGAGGGCAGTGCCGTGCATGGTGCTTTCTCCATAGGTACCTTCCATCAGAAACTAGTCGTCTTATGCCCAGGGTGCTCCTGGTGGCATCATGGGTCTCCTGTGGCACTCAGGTTACCAAGTGCCTTCTACACTGTAATGGTAGTGTAAGTTTTGCTTTAACCAAAGGAGGTTTGCTAGGAGGTAAAGCAAGCCCCAGAGAGCACAGCAATTTTTCAGTGTCACCACTGGCCAAAGCATAAGCCAAAGTGCTGTAGTAAGCTGAAAAGCAAGGAAATTTGCAAAAGAAGTTTGTTACCCCTGCATATTAAACAGAGCTGTACTGGAGTTTGGTGTGGTCAACAGCCTGATTCTACTCAACCTGAGAGCAACAGAACTGGTTTGAAGCAGTAAGAAAGTGCTTACTTCATTTGGTAAAGGTTGTTGGTTCCCCTGTGGTCAATATCGTGGCACAGAGCAGCAGTTACCATTGCAAGGGCTTCAAGGTCTGTGTAGTAACGCTTCAGTTTGCCGGTCTGGAGGGAGAGAATGTACATGCCATATGTTAGCATCTCATACAGGAACAGGTACTGACCTGTGACTGCTCTGTGCCAGGGATCTCCTTACTGAAATAGTCCAGGAGAACTGAAAACATTTGTGAATCTAAACACCATACATGGTAGGCTTAGGTTAAAATGGGGAATCAGCTGGAAACAGAACATTTCAGACTCAGGTAGGCATATGTGTGGTGCATATGTGCTTGATGCACATCTATGGTGTTGTCTGCATCCTGCTATAGAAGTCTTGTGCCCTAGGGTTCACCCAGGTTGTCGTAAGCACCCCTGCAGTCACTGGACAGAAAGTACTACGTGAAGAAGTTCCCCATCTTTCTGAGCAATGTGATGTCCCAGCTGAATCACCCAAGGGATTGTGGTAGGCATAAGCCTGCTCCCAGATGTGTAGGCAGATGTGTGAAACCATCCTCAGTGGTTCCTGGCTGGTCAATCCTTGGTGTGGAGCAGCAGCCAGACACTTGTTTTTCTTGTTGAGGTGTTTGTTGCCCTGAGAGCCTGTGAGAAGCGGCACTTGCCATGTTCACACTAGCGATATGCTTACACCTGTGTCTGTCCTACCTGGAAACTGAAAGCATGGAGTTGCCTCCATCCCAACCAGCTAACTTCAGTCTGGCTCTTACTGTCAGAATCTGTTGGAAGAATGGAAGTCCTGTAGTCTCTTTCCCCTACTCTGCAGACGGATTCAGTCTGGATTCTATTCAACACCACACATACCTGAGAATTAAAGCATTCCATTCATTGGCCAGCACTGACCAAAGATTTAAATGTAATGCAACGACTGTTACCTAAGGCAAATGGAGACCTCATTCATCAGGACCTGTGCTAGGAGCGACAAACCCTTCTCCTACACCAGGATTCAAAGGGAGACCTGCATATTTCTTAGGTGCTGTAAATAAACTGTGCCACAGAATTAACCAGGGTGGTGTTACCTTACCATCAGGAGCGTGAACATGGTCTGTGCAACATTGAAGCCATGACGCCAGTTGTGGTAAGTTATCTTCCGGTAGCCTTTGCTGACGGAGTACACAAACCTTACCAGAACCTGCAAACGGGGAAGAGGATGTTTGTTTGGGTGATGAAGCCGCTGGCTCTGGCTCTCACAATGAGAATCATATACAGAAGTCATGGATGAGGTTCCAGTCCTACAGAAGTGACCCCAGAAAGAGATCAGAAGCTGTAATGTCATCAGACTTCCCTGACAGCATTATTAGAGTAAAGCCTAAAGATTAGTGGACAGCAAAACGGGATCTAAAATGTAGCTCTCTGTTTTCTAATTTTTTTTTTGTAAGAAAAATAAAATCACAGAGATGTTTGTGGGGTAAACAAGAATAATCACTACCTAAAGGAAAAGAGATTTCATTGTAGTGCTTGTGAATTTATTGTGGTTTCATCTTACTGACTGTAAGTACTGACTGTACTGAATTTCTTTTTTATCTAATTTTTTTTTATCTAAGTTGTCACTCATAATATTTGTCTGTCCTGTATCTTGTGATTTACTAATACTGATATCTCTCTTCAAGAGATGGGAATCCATAGATGTAGAGATGGGTGGCATTTATATCACCTAAGCAACTACAATATAGGTCATTAAATAACAAACTAGCTTTTCCCCTCTGCATTCTACTACTCCATGTGTACTACATCTTGTAGCTGTGCAGGTTTTGCCATTAGAGAGAAAATTAATTATGGATGAGTATTCATTTTTAAAAATCTCAACTATTCAGAGTTGCAGCAAAGAATGACTTTTTTTTTCACGCGTGTATCAGGGGTTAGTTGTTGCAGAGTAGATATTTTGGGTACTTTTTGACACTGACCTGGTACAAGTAAGAGGCATAGAGATAATTCCCATTCGCTTCCCTTCTAATTCCCAGCCTGCCTTTCCAGGGTGAAAACTCTTCCTGCAGTTACCTCCAGATCCCACTAGATGGAAATAAACCTCACATAATGTGCTGAGAAATCCCTTGGGGAGCACCAGAGCTGCTGAAATGTCAGTTTCACGATTCCTACGGGGGAACGGTGGCAGAAATCGTGAATTTGCACATCAGGGGCTATGGAGTCCTTGTTCCCACAGGGTCCCACCATTCCCGCCGACCACAGTCAGGAAGCTGGTGCCGATTGCACCAAATGAGAGCACATCCGTGTTTGCAAGGGGATGAGAAACAAAGGGACCTGCCAGTGTGGCTTTCAGCATATCTTGGCTGAAAGCTGAATGGCACATCCTATAGCAAAGGAAACAAGCACACACAGGCAGGCACTCCCCATGTCGTGCCTGGAAACTGTTTTTACTCGGCGGCCGTGAGAGGCATTAGACACAGCAAGTGCAAGCAACCTTTTGCGTGCTGTACTACCCATCTCCATAGACCTCGCAGCAAACCCCACCCGTGGCAAGCAGTGCAGAGCAGAGGGGGACAGCTTTGCGCTGCAAACACTCACGTAGTGATCAATGGCAGTGAGAGGCGGTCCCCTGGCCCTCAGAGGTGTGAGGGGGCTTAGGACGCACGCCCTCCTCTCTGCAAGCCCCCATGAACCCGGTTCGTGGCTGCTCTGTGAGCTGCGCTGGGCATGCACAGAGAGTGCCCTGCGTGGGGACCTCAGCCACAGGGTGGGTCTGTTGGCCATCCGAGACAGGGCATCTTGGGTTTTGACAGCTCCTACCTCCTGTGGGATCTGGAACTTTTTCACCACGCCGAGCTCGTAGTACATCTGAATGCCACACTTCACCAGCTCCAGCTCGGTGCAGTCAAAATCAGAGAACCTGAACTCATAGATTTCAAACTTAGTGGGCCCCGGGAGCTCTTCTTTCTGTAAGAGAGGTGGGGATGGCTTATTGCTCTGCTACTGATGTCATTCCTAGGTTTGCTTATCAAAAACTTATCAGTCTGACACTGCTGTGAACTTTTTCTTTCAGCATATAACACATAAACAGGTTGAAATGCAGCTTTTCATAATAACCCCATTAATGGGGGGAGAAGGTGGGATTTGGTCAAGTGCATGAAATATTGTTTGTTTTCTGTTAAGCACTTGATTTGATGCAGTTTGAAGACTCAAAATGGGGGAAGACTTACAGCCCTCCTTAATTACTCTGGAGAACAATACGCGTGACAAGCGGAGGTGACTGACGTGTTTCCAGATGGACTTTGAACCCCTTGAGATGAAGTGGCAGGGAGCAGGGACTCCCCAGGACCTAGGAAAGTCACGTGCTGTGACATTATGATGGTAACCCCAAATTCACGCAGCAGAGGAAGGCAGGATATGCTTTGCCTTTGCCCCTGACCAGGTAACAGCATGCCAATGCTGATAACTCTTTCCTGCATCCACACAGGCAATGTTTGCTCACCAAGGCTTTTTATTCCAGCAGTACATTGCTCTTACCAGAATGCTTGCCAGCTCCTCTTCCTCACACTCACTTGGCTCCTTCCCCAGCTTTTCTCGTGTTGGCTGCAAAGAGCATGAGTGTGTTAAGCTGACAACCAAACCCCAATGGACTTTGCACTTGGCAGCTTTGGGGCAATCTAGGGTAGCTGTCATACGCAAATTGTGTTTCCTTTCCTTCCTGGACCTTACTTCAGTTTCTGGTCTTTCAACACATGCTTCCTGGTAGTGTTCTCCCTCTCCTTGGATTTGTGTTTCCCCTACTCGTAAATGTCCCCCTAGATCCAGTGTCCCAGCTGAGTCCTCTAGCTTCACATCCTCTGCACTAAGAAGGTTTTAGGAAATAAACCAGTTTTTCTTCCACCCCTACAGCTCTGCCCTGAGTATTGCCTGTGTGAGCCCACCTCCAAGGTTGGCTTTGCTGAGGAAATTAGAAAGGACGTGTTGGGGCAGTGTGCCAAGGTGGAGGGCAGACCACAGAGCCAAAAGAAACTTCTTTAGCCACTGTGCAATGACTAGGGGCCCAGGTGCTGCCTCCACATTATGGTGGCTGGAAGCATTTCTGTGAAATGGGAGACCTGTGTCTGTGCCATAAGCCATGGGCCAGGCCAGTACACCTGGATGTGTGCTGCACATTGTGAGGCATTACCAGAATTTCCTGGATTTCATCCTTGTCACATTTCACGTGGTAGAGCACCATGTCCTGAGCAATGTCCTTCCGGTTCTCCAGCTTGTTCATCTTATCATATGTGTCTGTGTTGAGCACAGACCAACCCAGGAACTGTGTCAAGGACTTGGTGAGGGGAAAAGAAGGAAACGGTGAAATATCTGAAACATCTGTTCCTCAAACGCACAGGAATATAACACTGCATGATATATTTTTGGAGAAACACAAGCTCCACTTTGTCCACAATTCTAGCAATAAGCAATCATGTGTTTGCTCCCAGCTGTGACTTACTCCTCAGCAGAGCATCTCCCCAGCTGTTGAATCTGCCCAGCCCTACAGAGCATCCATGCTGTGGAGGCTCAAGGACCTTCTGTCCAGTTCAGTGTACAGAAAACTATTTCTGTGTTGCTGCAAGTGCCTCCATGCCTGTGGAAAGGCTGCTGTTACAATGGTGACAGCAGGTCAGGAATGCTGAGATCAAGGTGGTCTCATCACCTCTTACGTGTATTTACGCACACACTGTGTTTGCTTTCTACTCGTTTGCTGCCCAGTGGCCAATTCAAACTGTTTTTTTTTTTCCCCAACAGTCTTTTAGTTTGATAAGAAAAGTCTATTTCAGGAAATGTTCTGATTGATAACAGATGCCAAGAGCTGAATGCTTATATTGCATTGAAACTAACATAGGAGCATTTCTAAGCAGCAAGGTCCTTGCTCACAGCTGCTGCTGGTAGATTCAACAGCTGGCTTCCCTTTGTATCTCAGCTACATAGATAATTTCTGTGTAATTTTTTGGAGGGGACTGGCCCAGTCAGTGAGAGCCAGCTGCCAGGTATGTGAACGCAGGTCACTGTGTTGGTGCACAGAAGCTGCTCATGGCTAGGTGTCCAACCCAAGAATGCTGAAACAAAATGATGCTAACACAGCTGGGTTTCCAAGACCAAACTCCCCAGTGTGTCAGATAGCTGCTTTCAAAACTTCCAAGTTGATGTGTAACACCTCTCTAAGCAACAAAGAAGTCTACTTAGCTTCAAAACACTGGAGATGTTTTGTGGGTGTACAATAAGCAACAGTGAGCCAGCTCTTCAACCATATGAATTACTTCCAGCCACAGAAAGGAACTATACCTCCATGAGGGTTTCATCCTGTTCATCAAATGGTTTCCCATCTTTTCTGTTATAAAATGTGACGACACCAACAATTTCTTCCCTTTTGTTCACAATAGGCATGGAGAGAACATTTTTGATAGTCCATCCTGATTCATCTAGAGGACCTTCCTTGAAGCAACAGCAAGCAGAAAGACATCATGTACTTAATGTGTTTTCTAAACACATCATTCCCATTTTACATTAAGACTTCAGACAAAAGAAGTATTTATATATCTAATATTGACGCAATATTACATTTCTGGAAAAAGAAAAAGTAGAATCCTTCACAGAAGTGGAAGTTTTCACAATACCTGAAAGTTAAACATCTCATCTGCAGCAGCATTCATAATGTTGCAAATCTAGGGGATCACACAAAAGAAAAAGTTTTACGATGTGGGCAATGAGAAGTTTAACTACCAAAACATAGAACTGAACTGATGAGAAAGCAGCATGAGTCTGACTTTATCTCAGAAAGATTTGATGAATCCTAGGTTAAGTACTCACAAATCCACTTTCAGCCACATAGGTTGGCAGTCCAGTAACTAGTGCCCAGTGATCCGGGGTAGGATTTCTGAATGAAAGAAAAATATATAAAGGAAATTAAGGATATATGTTTACTGAAGGATGATCATGGAGCTGAAGTGTATCCAGCTGATTGCATAATCCAGATTTACATATTTCACTCTGAGTTCCTAAACAGTCCTGTTACTTTCAAAGGATCTACATGCACAAGCAAAAAATTTTCATGTAAGTAAATACTTTTTTCTTCAAGGATTCAATACAAAATAACACATAAAATATCACAGCCTGCAGAGGCTGAATAAAAAGTAATTCCTGGGAGTGGGGGCCATGCTTCAGACCTTCAACACGGAGAAAGATAAAAGGAAGTTTCTGGCCAAGGTTGTATGCCAGCCTGAACTTTGAACACTGCTGTACTGGGGATCAGGACTGAGCAAAACTCCTGTTATGTCAGGTTTGTCTAAGGTGCCCAAGGCTCCTCTGAAACATCCAGTGGCAAGAAGAGAGGGCAGTTCTCAGAAAGAGGATGTCTTCTGCTGTGAGGAGAGGAGGAAAGGCCAGAGGTAGCCCTAAGATGGGATCAGTGACTGAAGGATTAGAGAGAAGCAAGGAAGCGTAGCCTCAATGAAAGGGCATCCTGGGTGGGCTCACCCACTTCCATAGGGAAGGTATGGAGGAGGAGAGATGCCTCAGCCTGGCAAGGAGAGTGGCAAAACTGCTGGCAGTCAAGACAGCTCACTTCTGCATCTAAAAAGAATCACTGGTTGTAGTGAATTTTGGAGCCTGGCTTGCAAGTCAGGATCCCAGTGCCCTTGGGGAAATCTTTATCCCACAGAGATGTGAGCTGAAGAACCAACTTACATTCTGTCTCTCTTACTCAGTCTTCTATTAGTCCTTTGCATTTCTCCTCATGGATGTCTTTAAATCATGGGGAACCTTGGTTTTACCTACCCTCTGTGTCAGTACCTTACTTACAGGGACTGGGCACTTACGGAATGACTTTAATGTCTTCTTTTCCATGTAATATATAATCGATGACCTTGTAAAAGACTATTTCCTACAAATAAAGAGAAGAGTGGTGTTGAAATTAGTGGTGAGGCAATCCAACCAGGCAGGAGAGAGGTAAAGAAGCCCTGTTCACACGTACCCTGCCATCCGGAGTGCGAGGCCCTGAGTACGGGGGTACTTCTCCCAGCAGGACTGGCCATAGGTCAAAAAATTCCTGGTTTTAAAATTAAAGAAGTAGTTTTAGAGTAGAAAAGTGCATTCTGCCTCTGGTCTCAAAGCAACCATTGCTCTACTGTGCTGGTTTTTGTAGTGTGTAAAATAAGGCATCAAATAATAAGACTAGTTCAATACTAGGCAGCAGAATGATACCCAAATACCTCAATTGGGAAGTGAGGTGCATTATATACTGCCTGTACACAGGGTGCTGCTTCATTCAGTGAACACTGCTGGCTGCACTCAGAGCAAATGGCCATGCCAACACCTCTTGTGTTCTTCATTTTCCAGTGTGACTATAGGGCTAATCTACTACTTGCCAGATTGCTGAAATATTTTGTTTGCTTGTTCTTCTTAGGCTTCATTATAATGCTGATCAAAGTGTCTCTAGCACACTAATGATCTTTTAATACACCTCTTCACAAGACAGTGTGCTGTCAGAGCTCTGGCAACACAATGGTCAGCCTGATCATGGAATAAAGCAGGGCTCCATTGACAAGGATGCTGCGTGACCCCCACATCCAATCAGACCAAATCAGATGTAATTTAGCTTCTGTCAGCTTGTTTTCATGAAGACAAATTCCATTTAAAAGCCTAGATATTGTGCACATGGATGAGTCCTTCAGGAAAGTTGCTGCTTTGTTGCTGGGGGGTTCCACAGCTATCTCACTATACTTCTGATATCCACAGGCTTTCTGAGGTTGTGTTTGTGTTGCAGGCTTTGACCAGGATTGCCACAGCCAGACACATTTTCCCCTCATTTTTCTTCCCAGCCTTTGACAGTCCCATTCTAGTGACAAGCTCTCCCCTTTTCCTCTATTTTCATTAACCCGGTCTCTTCATTTGCACAACAAAAGAGTGCCAACCAAAGTAGGAATTACGACTGGAAGTTAATTTGCACTTTGACGCCTCAGGAAAACTTATCTCAGCCGTATCTCCCCTCAGGGGACAGCAGCAATCAGAAAGATGCACAACACAGATGTGAACGCTCACCTTCTGCTTTGTCATGTCCAAGAGACCTACTGAGTACCGGTCACAGTTCAGGTATGCCCTCACCGTGTAAAAAGCCTTGTGGAACTGCCTCTCAATGTCAGTCAGTTCCTCAAAAACCTTATTTGCAGACCACAACAGCACCTGCAGCGAAAGATCAAAACGTAAGCACAGCCTTTCCTTGGGAGATGGGCTTCCCAAATGTATTTGGAGCAACAAGGAAACAATTGGGGGTTTATGCTGCAGTTCCTGAAAAGTGCAGGAAACTTACGCAGCAAAATGCAAAAGCATTGCTTATTCACGCTGGGAATTAGTAGGGAGGAAGACTCAGGTCATCTCGGAGTATTATGTAGAAGTGCAACTTAAAAATACACCACAAAAAAGTAGTACTATCAGGTAGAGAGAGTTGTCCCCACTTATGTCTTAAAGCCATTAATAAAATCTTGCATCCAAAACCAGTTAACACCAAAAACGTTGCGAATTACAGAGGCTGGTGTTTGAAATATGTGAACCAACGCTTTCCTCAAAGCCTTTGCACAGCTGCTTTGTGTGCACATCGATGTCTGCTCCTTTTACCTGCTCTGTGCCCCACAGATGCACCCTTAAGAAAGATGTTGCTATTAGGCCCCTTCATTTGTGAAAATGGAGGTCGCACAAGTATTGCTGGTGGTGCAAGGAGAGCCTTCATGGGCCTAAAGGAGAAATATTCTCTGAAGTGGTAAGGAAGCATCTACACAATTCCTTAGCTTAGCTAATGCATGTGTGCTTGTATCCAAATGTGAGCGCTTTGCTTTCTGATCCCAGGAGGTGTGAGGAACAGTGCTTCGAAAGCACTGAGAGCTGCAACCTGAAGTGGACTGGACCTGTGCTTTGAACAAGAAGTGCTGTTACATGGCCACTGCCAGAAAAAGGGTGCCTCACCTCTTCACTGGACACTGGCGGATGATTTTGACAATCATGAGCTGCATCTGTTTCTGTTTCTAATTCATAAACTGGGACAACTCTATAAAATCTGAGATGTTCATTGTCAGCATCCCTCAGATAGGATAGTGGAGGAAAATGAGCAACAATTTAGTTTTTGGCACTTTACAGCATGCAATAAGTAATGCTGAAAGCCACAAACTCTGTGAGGAGGACCAAAACAAACATCTGAAAAATGTCTAATTCATGGCATGATGTAAAAAAGATGGTCAAAATGTATTATATGGTCTTCTAATAAGACTCTTACACAGTGTCTGAGCAAAAGCAGACTGAGCTGTCTTTGCACAAACCATTTTATGCACACAACTGCACAGTCTTTGCGGATGGGATTTGCAGCATTAAAATCCTAGACCACCTTTGAGAATGTGATTTGCTCATTCTGTATTTCGGTGCTTTTGGTTATAACACAATGAACTGCATTAACTCTCACACAGACTGTAAGACCTAGATAGCCAGAGGTCTGATAACTGAACTGCTGGTAGAACTATAGCAGTGTGTCCTGCATCTCGTTCTCACTTTTCTCCCTTTCTGTGGGACCTGCTGATGCAGCATAGTATATGGACACAGGATTCCTGGGTTCAGAACCAGACCAGAGCACCCTCTGGGAGACATTAGGCCTTCCACTTTTTGAGTCTCCACTTTGTCTTCTATCCCATTTCTTACCAGCTCTGCTGCTAAGCCCTCAACAGCAACAAACCTTTGCCAGTTCTGCTTTAGTTGAACTACTCATCATTGCTGAAGGCTATCTGACCTGGCCATCATTCATGTTTTTTATTAATAAAATTAGGTAAAGCATATACAATAAGGAATTAGTAAACGTAACTGCTGTCCCAAAGCTTCAAAATAAACTTGCATTCTGCATTAATTTTGCTGAGACAGGCATTTATTCCCCATGGGAACCCCCACTGGAGAATAGATCGTGGCTGCCACGAAGCACAGATGCCACTGCATGTCCTCTTCAGTGATAACTGGTTGCCTTATACAGAAAGTGATTGCAAGGATTCACATCCATCCCAATGAATTTGAGAATCCTATTGTAATACAAGTCATGGAAAAGAATGTTGGCTGATTATTTCAATTTAGAATACCCTAAAATCCTAATCTATGGTCATTTCTACTGATAGAGACCAGTACAAAAGGTGTACAACAAACATTTTACTGTCTCTAAGAAGAAATTCAATAGCATTTTTTAATGAGCAGATGAGGAAAAAATACCACATTCTCCTACGTCTCAGGAAATCTTTTAGTGCTGCTGGCTGAAGTGGTTAAATGACCCAAGAGTGTTTTGCAGCCTCAAGTCAACAAAATATTTGGAAGTCAGTCCTGCTGAAACTGGTGCCACTGTGTCAGGTCCTGCACTTTTGCTGGTAGCAGCAGAAAGAGTAATGAAGGACTCTGGGGAAGGAACAGCAACTGAAACCACTTGAGGGTGTCTTTTTTTCCTGCTCTTAGGGCACAAATCTCTGAAGCAGATCAGGTGCACCTTTGAAATCAGAAGAATGCACTCATTTGGTTTTGAGATATAACCCGTTTTGCATTTTCACTCTTACCTGGCCTCTTCGAGTCTCACAATTGTGAAGATAGCTCAAGTGATAAATTTTCAAGTTCAAGGATGCAAAATTCAGGTATTTCAGAAAAAGCTGCAAAGACAAATTACGAGATTGAGTTGAATGCAGTAGCAGCCTCATGTACCCTGTATTTCATAACACTGCTTTACAAGCATCATGGGAATTTCCCTGGATAAATGCTTTGCTGTGCATTGGCATGAGATGAGGCTTATCCCACTGTGTCTTCCATGAAAGATTTATGAGATAAGCAACCTCATTTTAAACCTCTTTTACTAGAGGGTGAGTCCCCTTTAGGGAAACTCACAACACTGGAGCTTCACAGAAAGCAGACATCCCCAGTATAAAAGAGTCTGTTTTGCATGACACAGGTAACACCCTTCTGATAGAAACTCAGCTACTGACCACTTACTGTTTCATCGGAGCTGGTGAAGTGTGGGCCGTTCAGTTTGTTAATAGCCACAATGACAGCAACCAAATCTTTGCCATTCAAGATGGGTGTCGCAAGGATGTTTTTTGTAGTGTAGTTGGTGAGCTCATCGACAAATGGACTGAACTGGGCACACTGTTTAACAGAAAATTTACAAATTAAGCATTTTCCACAATATCCGTAGACTTAAAACCAAGATAAAGCACAGCCTCTCAAAGCGAGCTGCCTAAAGAAAGTTTTACTTAAAAATTATTGAGGAAGAGAAATGAATTAACAGAAAATTGGACAGGATGATAAAGCTAGTATCAAGAGGAAGCAGCTAGTATCTGAAGCTGTGGCTTCAGATTGCAACGTGTGCTTCTAACTTTCTGTGGAGATGCTGCTAACCATAAGCTTTAACATGTCAAACTGTCAGAATAAGGAGGCTCTCCACCGATCGTTCTCAGACAGATGACATTCTTCATAGTGCCTCCTTCACCCTTTCCTCAGGCTTCTTGTTAGCACTGTGGAGTGAATACACACAGATACCTTGCAGCACTGCGTAGCCACGGTGTATGAACCAGTGCAGTCACTGCGAAGTTCACTCACTCTCATTTTATTTCTGCTTTTGCCTGGACCCTGAGGCTTGTTGTCAGCTTGCAGCATCCATGAAGCCACCTACTCCTTGTTCTCCCAGACGTTCCCTCACATGTTGCCGGGCCTTCGTGCGCGAGATGGCAGATGGTAGGGCAGGTACTCCAAGGGAGGATGCAGTTGGCACCACTAGTGTGTGTTTCCTGGCAATCTTCCCCTGCATCTGGCAGCAATCCACCCACTTTTGCCCCAGGAGCACTTTGGTAGTGGTTGCCATGTGCAGACAGCTCTGCAATGGACTGGGCTGCCCGGGAAGTCACCCAGGAGGGATCTTCCATTCAAACCACTGGGGGCATGCTAGGTCATGCTGTGGGGCCAGCTCAAATGGAACTTGTCCAGTTCATCCTTGTATCAATATTACGTTTCCCCCCATGACAAAAGAAAACAAAGCGGAGAAAGCATAGTACAGGGAAAGCAGATGGCCCATCACTTCACTTGCACGGGGTCCTATTGACACCTCCATCACCTGCCATTAAGGAGTGCAGGGATGGTCCTGCTGACCCAAGGTCTTCTCTCTGGTCAGGTGAATAACCCTTCCACCTGGGTTAGAAAAAGCCACACAGCTCTGATCATATTCAGAAGGTTGAACCAGAAGAATAATCTCTCCCTAATGTACTTCTCCCCATACCTTCCCCACTGCTGGGCCTTCTGCCAAATGGGATAGACCAAGCATTGAATCTCTGGGTCTCCTTCAAAGGAATGTCTTATGGTGATGTCTGAAAGCACTCGGAGTTCAGCTCTTAGCTCACAGCACTGAAATGCTCCCATATTTCCGAAGAATCAGAAAGCAAACAACTTTAAAAAGTTTGTCACATTCTGATGCTTCCCCCAACATCAGAAACAACCCAAACGTCAAAAAATAAAGCTGCAGAACCAAATCAGTGTCTATGTTCTGTGGAAGACAAGGAAGGTTTTGCCAAAGGGTTTGGATATGCTTGTATTGAGCAACAAATGAATCGATCAACAGATGGTCTCTCTATAACTAGCAAACAATAGATGGAGTAATCCCAAATGCCATATTTGGGTCACATGGATTTTAGTTTTATACCTATGATTAGAACAAGCGGATTGTTATTGCTGCCATTCTGGTTTAAGGTGATTCAACCCAGAAGTGTGGGGAGTAAATGTTGTCACGAAGGCATAAAAATAAAACATTAAAATTCCTGAGATCCCTCCAGTTTACAATGTTTGCTGAAAGAGTTTTTTTGGTCAAAGCTTGTCTCGTTCTGCTTCTGATGAAGATCCACCATATACAGGTTGCAGTTAACACACTTGTTCTGAGGTCCACTCCCTCTGTTTAATAAAAATGTCTCTAAATGCCCTTGGCTGAAATTTCATCAGATAGTAACCATTTTCAAATGTTTTCTCTAGCGTAAAAACCCACTTTGTACTCCTGTAAAGGATTTCTCTCTCTTTGCAACTTACTAATGGATCATAAAATTCTGTGAAAAATTCCATGTGTGTTCAGTGCAGATCTGACTTCCTCACTCTCCTCTGCTGGACTACGTGTGACTTTTATTTTTTTTTTTAATTTGACAGGCCAGGTGTGGCAGCACACTTGTTTCCAGGCACTAAGACCTAGTGTAATTAATGTGCTTAGCTTCACCTCATTCTATAAATGAAATTGAAAGCAACTTGAAGACTTGCTACTGGTGCTTTTGTTTCCAGTACACAGCTATTACACCACAAGACCTTTGGCCAAGCACTGAGATGCACTGGTGCCTCTTGACCCCTTTGCACTAGTAAGCATGTGAGCCTCTCTTCTACCCAGTAAATGAATAAATGGCAAACATACCTCATGGACATCCTTGATGTTCATGGTTTTCTTTGTCTGCGCAACATAACCCACAATGCCTATGTCCAGTGGATAGACAATCTCGCAGTCTGGGGACACCAGACATTCCTCCAGAGTACTTCCCTCTTGGATGTTGAAAAGCCTTGTTGCCAGTTCGGGTGTGCCATTTCTCTGCCTGTACATGAAAAGACTACAGCGGTCAGCATGAATAAGGGACCTGATTCTTCTCAAGGTCTTGAAAACAACTTTCTCCATGTTGATGCTTTCTTGCATGTCTTGGATCAACTCAAAAAGTATTTCGCTCTCATTGTTATCCCATGACTCTGTTTTCAGTTTCTTCTCAAAGTACTGCTTGGCAAAAGCAGGGTTGCCATCAAGAAACTTCTCCACGTCGTCTTGACTAATGCTCATTGTGAATGCCCTGGGTCTTGCGGAAGACGTGGTCGTTGCAAGCAGCACTCTAATTTCTCATGTAGTTCCTAAGCTTTTGTAGCAGAAGATGCTGCTTTTAGAATGACTAAGGGTGAAGTATCACTGCAAAGAGAGCTTGTCATCAGGAAGATGTATTCCTTTATAGTGCCGAAGGTGAGTCTGTGAGAGGACAGATCTTCTCAAACAAAGAGATTAGATGACCTCTACAAGAGCTTTGAGTCAACTTTCCGCTTCTTAATCTAGCTGCAAACAAACATTGAGTACTTGCAATATCCGAAAACACTCTCCTTTCTCTTGATAAGCAGAACACTTACTGAAACAATTATATTGAGGCAGCAGCAACAGGGAAGAACTGCATCTCCTAACATTGAAATAAGCTCTTTAAAGTCTAATTAAATATATACTGCTTGGGCCTAATCCTTGACTAACAAGGTGAGCATCTTATTATTCCTGCTCTCCTAGCAGGAGTAGGAAGTGCATCCTTCGCAAAAGAACACAGTGGCCGAACAAAAATAGTGAGGTAACGCTGCTCTTTCAGGACTCTCTCTACAATTTCATGACTCTTGGATGGCTTGTCTAAGGGCTGTTGTCTAACAAAAGCACCATTCCTGAGTGCTTTAGTCCAGGATTTGAATTGAATTTGCAAGGACTATGGCCTTTTCTTCTTGCTAGTAAAAACCTAGACAGGAAAATATGCCTCTTAGTGGGTCCTTTCAGGAAGGAGAACTTCCATTTGGGATTACTGGATTGAAACACTCTAAAGAAACATGGGAAACCTTGAAGACAACACAAACAAACAAAAGAACAAACACCAAACAAAACCCAAGCAAACCAGGAAGGTAGAAAAATTTCCCTCATCGCTATCAGTGGAGAGAAAGGGTGAGAATTATGGCTGTGAGAGACATAAGTTGTTTCACATCAATGAAGCCACCATGCTGTGCAAACAGCAGGTGAGGACAAATGTGATGCTGGGAGGCAAAATGCCTCAGAGGCCATCACCTTTCAGAGGAATTAATGCACAGGAGTTTTCATTACTGGCAAACAAGAGTAAGTCCCATCCACCACATTGCTGGAAAATGAACAGGAGTAACCTGCTGAAGGAGTAAGGGCCCAGGCTGTGCCCTCTCTGAGAGTGTTGTCACTACTACCAGGAGTGGTTCAATCCAGCCCGAATGTGAATGTGGATACCTGGGAGGAAGGTGGCTTGTTCTGGTAATTCTCGTAGTCAGGATACTAAAATAGAACTACTGCTCAAGAAGACTTGAAGGAGGTGATGTGTGCCAGGGCCACATACACTGCCTCCAAAAACCATGTTCCAAAAGAGGGACAAGGACCTACTCAGAGCTGGCATGGTGCGTGACTGCTCCAGATCTCCGGAACGGGGATGGGTGAAACCTTTTTCTGAGCAATAGGCAGGACTGTCCCAAGCACAGAACTTGGTGGCAATGTGGAATTTTAATTTTCAGACATCTGTAGGGATGGCAGTGTTTCAGGTTGCAGGTTGTTAAGCAAGCTTTCATGTGTCACAGCAGTTTTCTGGGCAAAAAGGCTGGCAGAAAGAGCAAGAGGGAATTTTCTGAAAGCAGGGGAAAGAATTGCCTGAAAAATGAAGGTGAGAGACAGTTTAGGTGAGCGAGACCATGAAATGAAAGTTTCAAACTGGAAAAAAGAGGCCATTTTGTAAATTATGTGTTCTTGTTAATCCTAAGGAAGAGAAAACCAGACAGAAAGTGTATAAGCACAGTGAAATTATTGAAGATGTGTAAAAAATACGGTGAACAACTAAAAATGGAAAGTAAGAAAAGTCAAATTGAATATAAGGTTACATTAGGAACATGAAGGGCAATGAACACTTTCTGTTTATCATATAGGGAAGAGCAGGAGTATTAGGGAAAGCATTGAAGAGCACGAGTTTTTAGAATGTTGTATGAAATAACCTCTAAACTGTTAATGAGTTTTTCTGACAATTAATGGAGGATCTTCTGAGGTTTTGAAATGCTGGGAAAAGGTAAATGCAATGATTCTTTCTGCAAAATAGGAAAAAGAAAGAACTGGAGAATTTCACAGCAGACCATTTTAAATTTGGCTTCTAAGAAAATACAGGAACAAACGTGTGTCTGTACATAAATAGAGGAGACAAGTAACATCCAGTGTGATTTTGTCAAGAGCAAACTGTGTCATACATCATAATTTCCTCTATAAGTCTTGAGACAAAAAGAAAGTAGTGACTGCCACAGCTCTTGACTGATGAGGAAATGACACACAAGATACTCTCTTCAGGTGAAAGCTTAGATGAAGTAGTTAAAAGGCGGCAGCAAATATGTTTGAGAGATGAAGAGTTGTTGTGAGTAGCTCACTAAAGACATTCAGAACTTCTTGAGCAGGCTTCTCTGTGGAGGCTCTCATAGATGTAGGGCATCTCATTATTTCCACTGATGGGTGGAAAAACATTAAGTCGGTGAGCAAGCCACGGTCAGGTGTCTGTAAATGTGTTTTAGCACCATCTTAAAACTAAGTTGCAGACAGATGTGTTCAGGACTAGAGCACTAGACCTCACCAAGGGTGTATGGAAAGTCCTATTCAGGTGGAAAACAGTCACCTGGTGAATTCATGGGGATGAGTCACTGTCTGGGCTTAACAGAGACCGCACATGTGTCAAGACTACCAGGCAGAAGGAGGTGTACATCCATTAGGATGAACCCTCTATTGCATAACAGATTATGCCAAGTTGTACTGAACAGATGTCTCACGTGGAATACAGTGGGAAAATGTGACCTCTGAGGAAAGACTGAGGTTTCTCATGTCTCTTTTCTAAACAAAACAGTCTCCAACTCTGTTAAATGCTACTGCTAAGAAAAAGGGATCAGTCTGTTCTCCATAATTGTGTCAGTACAGTAGATTTTAGACCTGCACAGAAAAGGCTTCCAAAACAGTGGGAAGAGATTTCTCTTACCCAATCTTAGGTATCCCTAGAAACAGAGATGCATCCTTTTCTTCAGCAAACACTTCTAGTCAGAAGAGATGCACATGTAGTGATAGAGCCAGCTGGAACTCATGCAGACGAACAACTTCTTGAAACTGGAGGAAAAATAATTTTTCTGCCACTGGGTTTTTGAAAAAAGTCTGAAGTGAAGTGTAGCTCCTCTTACAGTTCAGCATATCGTGGCTTGACACTTTTTAGGATCTACTGGAACCTCCTTGTGCCAGGTCATATTTGCGTAAGGGGAGAAGGTCTCCAGGGAGCTCATAGCCACTTCTCAGAAACGTTTCAATGTCCATGAATCAGACCATCTATGAAATAGCTATCACAGGACACAGCTATACAGTTAGAGGACATGCTCAGGATGCCCTATATCTGAACAGAAGGTCCTTTTGGCTTTGCAGCATGTGGTGTTTTCTTGACATAAAAAGGTTTTGTGGATGCACTAAGAGGTATGCAAACTGCTGTATATGCTTTTTGGCTGTCATTTGGGAGCTGAAAAATTGCAAATGGGTGAACTTTTGTATCTTTTGGATCCAAATCCTCCAGATATTCACACTTTGTTTGGTATGAAAGGTTATGTTTCGTTCAAGATAAATGGTTTTGTTTCAAAACATTTATAAGAAAAACAAGCAGTGTCCAACAGCAATACTCCAGGCCCAAAATGTGAAAGATCCAAACTCAGTTCCTGCTTCTGCACTCAGGGTTTGAAATTTAACAAGGTTTCCTCCTAAAAAAGGGGAAGGAATGAAGGTCCTAAAGTACTGAATTTTCCAGCTGCAGAGGTGGAGAAACTGATGCAACATTTGTTAGGCTAAGCCAGGGCTGTGTAAGTGCAGTGCAGTTGAAACCATGTAGGAATGGCAGGTGGAAATCTAAATCACCTTTGGAAATGGAGGCAGCAGTGCCACAGAAACCCCCTTGGAGAAGGGTGGTGGGCTGATGAACCCAGAATTCAAAGCATGGTGCAAAGGCTTCAGGTATTCCTTCCCTAGGCCTTCAGGGATACTCAAGTGGCACCATGAAAGCCGTTGCTGGCATAACATTGGTAACTGAAGTGGATACAATCTAAGCTTGCAATAGGATAATGTTCTTTGAATGGACTTAGGCAGACAATGGAGGATTTTGGAGGAGGATGAGGATGCTATTTTAGGAAACTTGCACTAGACTGTCACGCAGCATAATAATATCTGAACACGTGTGGTTGCACAAATTTGTTTTTAATAGCTTTAAACCTGAATTGCATAAAGTTGGCATAGGACCTCTACTTTGTGGGGTGTCGATGGACGTCACTTAAACAGTGTTTCAAATGAAAACCTCAAGTGTTTAAGCTGCCCTGAAGGCTTGGCTGGCAGCTGGGAAAATGAGCTCAAGTTCCTGGGAATAAAATTCCTCTCCTCCCAACAACTCATATGACAGTCTCTCCCCATTCCTAGGAGGGACACTACTGGAGACTCCAACTGTGGAGTAGAATCATCCGGTGCAAAACGTACCTTCCAGGAAAAGCAGCACTGTTAGGACCACTTATGGGACTGTGTCCAAAGCAGTGGGTGCAGACAGAGCACAGTGTTTGCAAAGCAGAAAGAGGGATGGCAAGTGCTGAGGATGTCAGAGTTCCCTTCCTGGGAACATTGTTTTCCTCCTAACCAAGAGGCTGTGGGGAGGGGAGCTGCAAGTGACTAATTTGATTAGACACTATCCTTACAGGATACTGTATTGACAGCTATACTCAAACCTTTCTGACCCCCTCATCCGTTGCTGCATAACGAGATTGCAGCTTATCTGATTTACCATGTAATATTCTCATGCCACCTGCTTGTACACAAGAGTTAGCTTTCCTGCCTGGAGCTATGGGAGCCCAGCAAGGATCAGTCATGTCCCTTGCCTCTCCTGGGCCAGGGTCTTCTTCTACTCCCCAGGGTCTGGTCTGCTCCCCCAGCTGCACGTGGATTGTCTCTTGCTCCACGGAGGGCTAGTGTGCAAAGCCTTACAGTCTTTGCTCAGCATCCTCCCCCTTTCCTTCCCCTCTGTGGCTGTCCAAGGACCTTTAGATGGCACCACAGCATGACCCTGCCTCCTGGGATCTTGCCCCTTGTCCCAGACACTGCTGTGCCACACTCCTGCCTGCAGTGCCAGGTAGTGCAGCCACCAGTGGGTGAGAGACTGCCACCCAC